TTACTAGATCCAGTGAATATTTTTAGTTTATATTCTGTATATCTTTGCGCTTCTTTTGCAATCAGAGGTGATGATGAAATATAATGTTTCAGGAGAGTAGTGTTGAGCGAGATGATTCAAGGAACCTTTCAGTGAGGTATAATCTTTTTATGTGGTTTATATGTCACCTGGGTTCAATGGAGATGGATAAAATTAATATAACTGAAAATTTGAACATTATATTCTACTTCTTGAGACTTTGTTTTTCCTTGATAGGCTAGTCGCCAGGCAATTTGAACTTCTAGGCTATTTTACTTGTTTTGCTGTTTGGGTTTGGAAATGTATGGCTAGTTTAAACTACTGTAAAAATGCAGTCTTGAAAAGCAACATAAATTATTTGTTCAATTGTTAGTGCATCATGCAACATTGTTACTTAAAATTATCTTTTTTATAATGTTGCCATAGGTTTTATGTTCAAGAAGAACTATGACCATCTTCCCAAAGACGATATTTTGGCAATATAAAGATGCAACACGTGGGAAATCCAAAAACTACTCTAACATATGGAAAGGGAAATCAGCCGCTCGTATTCAAGATCATCTTCGTCCTAATGGTGCTCACAGATGGCACAATACATGAAGAACCCAAGTGTGGTGATTTATCTTATGTAGTAACCATTAGTGTATGTATGTATGTGTTATATATAATATTATAGGATGCTTGTTTCATGCTTGCTACCTTTCTATTTACCAATAAGTTCTTGTGTCTTATCAAGAAACAAACTATAATGTTAAGAGTTATGTGTTAATATTGGACCTTTACCTGATAATTTAATTTTTATTCTAGCGGTTACTTAACAAGGAAGTAGTGTAATGGTGTCAAGTATGAATTCCTCATTTCTCTTTCACTTGATCAAATATATCAGTTCAGCAGTCTTTGAGATCCTTATGAATAAAATCATCTATGTTTCACAAGGTGCCTATTAGACTTGAGCTTATAGGAGCTTTACCTGATATCTTTAATTTTTTGATTAACCATTACTTAAGATAGTAAACTGTATAAAAAAAGGGAAGACCTTTTGAGAACGGGGTCATATTGGATTATCTGTATCAAATGCTTGTCTGTATCTAATTGTAGTCGATATTATGAAATTTAGTGTTAAAGAACATAATTATTTTTCGCTATCTATAGACTTGTATGACTATGTTATTTGATAGTGAGATCAAATTGGATGAGGCTGCTGTCCTGCATTACACATATCCCAAGTTTTGATTTGACTTCAAGACGTGACACGGGGTGTGGCTGCAAGCCTACAAAGGAGGATGTTAAAAGATGCTTCATGCTGGAATTTGACAGAGCTGTGGGTTTTGTCTATTCTCTTTTTTATGTGCTTTACCCTTTTCCTTGTGAAAATTTTTGTTTTGTTGATTAAGTTTCTGCTGCTATGATTTCTTTTTTTTCTTTTTCCCTTTTATACCACTTAATTTTAATGATTTTTCCACTTTATGTAAATCAGTTTCAAAGTCGGTGGTGTTGGACCATATGTCCAAGATAAATAAATAAGAACTGTGTCTAACTCATGCAGTATGCTAAGGACAAAACTGTACTCAACAAAATTTGGAAATATAAATGAAATCATTCTTTGCTAAAGCATAAGCTCTATAATTTTCTAGGCTAGCTAATTGGAATGTCCTTGGCCAAACTAGATAAGCTATGAACCGTTAATCATGGATGCTTATTTGTGACAAGAAGGTTTCTATAATCAATCTTTTGGCAGTCTTTTTTTCTTGTCTCTTTCCTTTTATTTATCTTTAAGTGCACTTGTTATTCAGGCTTATTGATAATATTAGCTCTTTCTTGTTATATTCTGTGCAGGCATTTATAATTGCCTCAACTGCAACAGAGGAGGAGATGTTGCACTGGTAAAATTAAATTAAAAAATCTATACAGAACTATATCGAAGAACTAATTTTAAGGGTTTTAATGTGTTACAAGAGGACCTATAGGTGCTTTTGGGTGTCGTACAGATTGATATGCTGCTTTATAGAATTAGCTGTAGGATTTCTTATTTTAATAGTACTTTAGATACTAAAATAACAAATGATTGCTCCCCCTAATGCCTGTTATCTGTTTATATAGGTATCGCGAACACATTGTGTGGACTGATAAAACCCTGAATCTCAAACTTCTGAAGAAGGGCATCTTGACTCGTATTTATGCTCCCATGGTAAGTTCAAATGCCATTTTTTCCCGGCAGGCTGCATTGCTATGGTTCTTAGAGCTGATCAATTAAAGATTGTGTGCACGTATGTACCCTTTGTTGTCAGTTTTCTTGACATTACAGTGTTGCTCTGTTCACAGGCCATTATTCAAGCAATGAGGGAATCTGGGGTTTTCAGTTCAGTAATTGCTTCAGCAGAGACGGGCCTTTCAAAGGAAAAGTTTTTATCATCCATTGAAAGTAGTAACACTACTAGAGGAGTTAAATCCGGAATAGTCTCATCAAGAAAGGTTGGCAATAACAGTGAATCTCAGGCAACTGCAAGAAGGGTCTTGGAGTTTTCTAATGATGCAACTTATACTTCTGCAATTCCACCACAATCTCTTCCCGGCCTGGATGACATTGACTTTGATAAAAAATTACAGACTACAGTCGAGTGATGCCTAAATCTTACCTGGCTTCAGTGTTGAAGAAGGATCTAATTTTGAAATGTTAGCAAAAGAGAACTGAAGGGAGTGTTGTGATGTGGCATCATTGTTCAGTTTTGTGGAGCTCTTCCCGATCATTACCCAAGCGCTGGTGTACATTTCAGGTTTAGATTATAGGTTTTATAGAGTTAGAGATGTAGAGCGGGATTCAATTCCATTGCTGGAGCTGTTTTTCTTCTTATTATTTTAGTAAATGGTAGTATTTCTGAGAATGCTTTGGGTTACAACCTTGGTTTGTAATCTGAAGTTACATTTTGTCATATTAGTTTAACCACATTGGAGTGGTAATATTACATTACATTGTTTAGGCCCCATTCTTCATATAAAAATGGTCTTATTCATTGCATTTGGTATATTACATTTTCATACCTGCCTTAAAATTTTGCCGTTTTCTAGTATTTGAGGAGAGACAGTGTGTCAATGTGTAATATTACAAAACCATAGGGACTAAAATGTTTTCATGACCCTGCTTAATACACATACAAGCTTGGGTTGGGTTATAATCTTAGGGGTGTAATCAAGCTGAGGCGAGTATTGAGAAGCCCGAGCTCGGCTCGGCTGGAATAATCGGAGCTTGAGCTCGAGTTTGAACGAACTTCAATTGTTGAGATTGAGCTCGAGCTTGATAGATTTATGGTGGGCTCAAGCTCGAATAACCTGTGCAAAAATACACGGTAAAGCAGATGCAAACTAATGTTAGCACATAGCAAAGCCAGCTTAGCAAGATGAGAGATGTCCAATAGAAGCTAATACTTTTCTAACAGTTGACTCGCAATCTCCCTGGTGGGTATAGATTCTGGATTTCAAACAACGTGCTGGTCAAGTCAAGGCTGACCCATCGACAACGACAAAAGGCCAAAAAGCATCAACTCTGTCCACAGATATGCCAACAACATATTGAAAAAATCCGTCTCTTTGATCTTATCCAGAGCAGCAAGTAGAGATTTTCTCTTAGTCTATGAAAAGACAGATTGCATCAATTACAACACCAATTCATGACGAAATAGATAAACAAAGAAGCATGTAACTAAATCAACAAGCTGTGACTTTTACCATGCTCGAACTGGTTTGTTATTTAAATGCTTTAAGACTTTAAAAAGAACACTTAAAACCAACTTAACACATAATTCTAACTTCCAAATGAAGAAATTTCCTGCCTAGCTTTACAAGCGGAACAAAGTAACCCAATTCAGATAAAAAAATATATCACACTATTTCTGCATTCAGAAAGCAACTCCAAAAATAGAAAAATAATTGAACGTTGATGATAATCTGACCACCCACTTCAACCAAACTACAAAAACTTATCAACCATACACACAAATAAATCCTACCGACAAATAGAGGCTAGAGCCTGCTTTTCTCTGAGGTTCTAAGAAACTTGTAAAGATTTCACCTCCACTCTAACCTGGAATTCCCACAAACAGACATTTCTTCTCTTTGTCTTTTTTATAACACCATAATTGTGTATGTAGTAAAACTAATGGCCTTTTCTTTTTTCCGAAATGCACATACCTGACGCAAGCTGTAAGGATTTGCATATAGACTTCCTTCATAAACATGATCAAATAATCTCCTGAATTCCATCAAATGAAGGGATAGGAAGCATAATCTCCACTCGCTTCTTCTCTTCCAAGAATACAATAAGGAAAAAAAAAAGTTTAAGTTAGACTAAAATAAAATTAACTACTAAATAAAAGTGTCAAAATATTTTTATAATTTTAGTAAATGGAATTTACTTTTTTCCTTTTCTTCACTCAACTGAAATTGCGACATCAACCACCTCTACATGCTAGCATTTGCACTGTTTCCAAAGACAATTCAATAATTATCAATAACTCTACTTCCAAAAATAAAAATAGCCTTGGAAATCACCGATTATAGAAATGACTAGTATGTTACGAGTCATATTAGATAAGATACTATACTTCAAATTATTAACCTTTCACCAGTCTAAAGTATCAAACGCATCTAGATTCTCTCACAAATATAACATCCCTCTTCCAGAAAATAATCTAATTCAAATTTTTGCTGTTGAACAGTTTCAACCGCCCTCAAAAACTGCGCAAATTCTGATCAACCAGAAGTTCCGTTTTGTACATTCACTTGATCAAACACTTCAGTTTTAGCAATACAGTCATTGGTAGAAGATTGATTGTTAGCCACATATTCCCCATAAAGCTCATACAAGGTATTAGAAACGTGTTTGGAGAGAATGACGAAATTGATTTTGCTGTTTTGTATATTTCTCAATCAAAGATACAGCTATATATGTAGATAAAGACAAATGCCCTTAAGCCAAAATACACAAATGCCGAGAAGACGAAATTGATTTTGTTGTTCTGTATATTTTCTCAATCAAAGATACAACTATATATGTAGATAAAGACAAATGCCCTTAAGCCAAAATACACAAATGCCCTTAAGTTTACACCGACACAGATTACTTAATATCCCCCCCTCAAGTTGGTATATGATACAAATTAATCATTCCCAACCTGCCAATTAAGTAGTCATGTTGTTTCTGACCTAGTGGTTTTGTCATCAAGTCAACAACCTGCTCAGCCGTGGAGATATGATGAATCTTGATGATACCTTCTAAAATATTTTTTCTTGTAATGTGACAATCGATCTTGATTTGTTTTGTTCGCTCATGAAACACAGGATTGACCAAGATATGAATGATGACAATGATATCACAATACATACTAGTTAGGGTCAATGAATCAACGTCCAAGTCTCTGAATAAACCAATGATCCATGAAAGCTCACAAGAAAGTACTGCCATTGATCTATATTCTGCTTCAGCAGATGATTTGGACACAATCTTCTGCTTTTTAGATTTCCAAGATACCAATGAGTTGCCTAAAAAAGCACAAAATCATGTCGTAGATCGTCTACTCATTAAGCATGAAGGCCAATCACTATCACAAAAAGCTTGTAACTCCAATTCACTGGAAGAGGGAAACAATAAACTAGAGCCAGGATTCAACTTTACGTATCTGATTACCTTCATGGCAACATCAAGATGTGACCTTCTAGGTTTGTGCATGTGCTGACCGAGGAGTTGTACCACATAGCTAACATCAGGCCCTGTCATAGTTAAATAGATCAAATGACCTATTAACCTTTGATACACATTAGGATCTTCAAGGGGAGGATCAACTTTCTACTCATCATTGTTGTCATATTCAAAACTAGTTAGCTTTGTGTTTTGCTCCATGGGTATGCTAGTTGGTTTTGTTGAGCTTAGGCCAGCTTCGGATATAAATTCCAATGCATATTTGTGTTGATCAATGCAAATTCCTTGATCAGATCGAGCTATCTCAAGTCCAAGGAAAAACTTTAGTGTGCCAAGGTCTTTAATATGGAATTTTGAAGCAGGATAAGGCTTTGTGTGTTCAATGCCTACCAAGTCATCTCTAGTCAACAATATATCATCTACATACAGAAGTAAAACTATTAGTAGACCATTGTTCTTTTTGATAAAAAGAGAGTAATCATATTTGGATTGCTAAGAGGCTTGTTTCAAGCCATATAGTGACTTTTGTAATTTGCAAACTTCATGTTCCTTATCTTTAGATGGAAAACCAGGAGGCATTTTCATGTAAACATCCTCATAAAGGTCACCCTGCAAAAATGCGTTATATAAATCCAGCTGATTTAAAGACCAACCCTTAATAGAAGCTAAAGCTAAACAGATCTTACTGTCACCATTTTTGCAATTGGAGAAAAAGTCTCCTTAAAATAAATCCCCTCCTTTTGATTGAATCCCTTGGCTACTAATCTAGCTTTGTACCTTTCTACAGTTCCATCAGACTTATATTTTATCTTATAAACTCATTTACAACCAATTGGCTTGTGATTCTTAGACAAATCTACCACCAACCATGTATGATTTTTTTTCTAAAGCTAGAATCTCATTTTTCATAGCCTCTAACCATAATGGATCTTTAGAAGCTTCAGAAAATGAAGTAGGTGCAATCAAGGAAGAAAAAGAAGAAATTAGAGCCAAATAATTGGGAGAAATATTACCATAAGAGACATGATTAGAGATAGGATATTTGAAGGAACAAGAAGATTTGTTTGACTTGATGGTAGGACATATGTAGTCCTTGGACCAAATGGAAGGCTTGGACACTCGAGTAGAATGTCTGGAGGAGATTGATGGGGCTGCTTGGCTCAATGTTGGAACATGCTCAGTATGATCAGATATAGTGTCTGATGTAGCAGAATCTGTTTGGGCAATATTTTGGGATACTGGTTGTGTGGTATGTGGGGAAGCATTATTGTCCATTGGTGTATCAATGAGGATTTTGTCATTTGCATTAGGTAAGGGATAAATCGGTTTATCGAAATCCACAACAACTGATTCTGTAATTGTGCACTAATTAGTAGATGTAGATAATCCAAATGGGAATGTAGACTCATAAAAAATGACATCCCGTGACACAAATTTTTTTTGTGAATCAAGATCATATAAAATGTATGCCTTTACAAGCAATTGACCGAGATGAAAATTTATCATGATTATTGAGCTTTGTGGCATAAGCAAGACATCCAAAAACCTTAAGATGATCTAATGAAGGAGATGTGCCAAATAAAATTTCATATGGTGTTTTGCTTTTGAGAATGGGAGTTGGAATTCTATTAATAAGATATGAGGCCGTTTTAATACATTCTCCCCAAAACCTTGAAGGAATGGAAGCTTGATGCATAAGTGCTCTAGCAATATTCAACATGTGTCTATGTTTTCTTTCCACCAAATCATTTTGTTGTGGTGTGTACACACAAGATGTTTTATGAATTATTCCTAGAGATTCAAAGAAATTTTTTGTGTCACTATTAAGAAATTCCAAACCATTATCAGATCTGACTCTTGCAACATGAGTTTTAATTTGATTTTCAACCATTTTAATAAATTTTTGTAACAAATTGGCTGCTTCAGATTTGTAAGACATCAAAAAAGTCCAAGTGGCACGAAAAAAATCATCGACGATAGTTAAAAAATATCTAGCACCATTATGAGTTGGTTGTTTATATGGGCCCCATAAATCTATATGAATGAGTTCAAAAACACCCTTTGTAACTGAGTGACTATGTGTAAAAGGCAATCTTGTTTGTTTTGCTAAAGGACAAATCATGCATTCAGTTATATTACAATCAGGCAAATGTGGAACGAATTTCATTCTTGAATTTGAAATATGACCAAGTCTTTTGTGCCAAAGATTGGACTCAGTATATGATGAAGAAAAAGTTAACATTTTATTCATGAGAAAAGAAACGCATTACATGAATCTGCATAATTACAATCAGAATAAAAAACAAAACCATTTGAAGTAGTGTGCAAGATTACAAATTTCGTTAGGAAAAGCTGCACGTTGATACAGACCATGTTTGACCTTACCAATCCCCTTCAATACTCCACTCTAGAAGTCCTAAAAAGTGCACAATTAAGTATAAAAAGTGATACTACAATGGTTTTCATTTGTGAATTTTGACACTGAAAAAAGATTATACTTGAAATTTGGGAGATAAAATACTTTATCTAAACGTGAGTGGGAATTTAACGGAACTGAACCTATGTGAGTAATACGAGTCTATTTGCCATTTGGTATAGAGACTAAGGAGTCAGAATCAGGAGGAAGAGATACACATGATTCAAGAAGATTTTTGTTTGATGTCATATGATGACTTTCCCCAGAATCAATAATCCAATTATTATTATTAAATGAGCTCAAAAGACTAGTATAAGTACCTGCTAGATTTGCAGAAGGTTGAGTGTTTTCTTTGCCAAGTAACTTGAAAAGATTATTGTATTGCTCTATAGTTAAAACAGGAGCTTGTATCTGCATTTGCTCTTGAGAGTTGTTGGATGTTGAAATGTTTGCGGAAGCTGGATTTGTTGTCTTGTTCCCTTTGGTGCCAAATTGTCCTTTGGGTTTGTAGAATTTATGTCCTTCTGGATATCCATAAAGGTTCCAACATTTGTTCTTCTTGTGACCTGGATTATTGCAATGCTCACGGATTATCAATAACTTCTTGCCCTTGTAATTTCCCCCTTTGTTTGCATTATTTGTGGAAATTAATGCAGTAGTAACCTCATTGTTGGATTGTCTAGAGACAATTTGTCTCTATGATTCATCTAGAATGACTATTGAATAAGCTTGATTTACTGTGGGCAATGGATTCATCATCAATATTGCACTCCTACACACATTGAAGTTCTCATTGAGACCCATCAAGAACTGAAGAAGCTTCTATTGTTCTTGAAGACCTTGATAAGTCTTTGATCCCTCACAAGCACAATTAGGCAAATTGACCATGGATTGATTCATCCCAAAGGACCTTTAGACGCGAATAATAGGCATAAACACTTTGAGTACCTTGATAAACAGAGACTATTTCAATGTGTATAGCATATATCCTCTTTCCATTGATCTTATTGAATCATTCTTTGAGATATGCCCATATAATGCTTGCATTTGTCTCATAAACAACCCCACCAAAAATTTCTTTGGATGCTGAATTAAAGATCCATGATAATACGATGACATTTACCGTTTCCCAAAGACTGTGTAAAGACGAATCAAGATTGGATTTGGTACAAGATCCATTGATGAAGCCAATCTTGTTCTTGCCTGTGAGCGTGACAATCATTGCTCTGCTCGAATGTGAATAATTCTCAATTCCTGTTAATTGTTGAGAAACAATCACTGCACCAGGAGTATCACTTGGATGAAGATAGAGCGAATTCTGAAAATCAATTTGACTCAATGACATCATAGTTTGCCCTTGTTGCTCCATTTATGCAAATCACTTTGATTTTGGTTTTGAAGATGAATTGGAAGAATTAGGGCTAAGATGTGATTTAGGGCTATGAAATAGAGGGGAGATTAGGATCGATTACTTGCGATTATTGAAGAATCGCATAACTGCTCTGATACCATATTAGAAACGTGTTTGGAGAGAAGACGAAATTGATTTTGTTGTTCTATATATTTCTCAATCAAAGATACAACTATATATGTAGATAAAGACAAATGCCCTTAAGCCAAAATACACAAATGCCCCTAAGCTTACACTGACACAAATTACTTAATACAAGGTCTCTCGAATTCTCATAATATTTTTCTTATGCTTCATGCTCAGGACACATTTCAGGGAAGCAAAATTCAATCACCCTCATTTCGCACCTAGGGTCCAAGATAGAAACTACAACCAAGGTTTAAAACTCAGCTCGAGTAGTGACCCAATCAGGTGATCGGGGTCCAGGCCGAGTGGTCGAACCGGTGATGTTAGCTAAAGTTGAACCCAAAAAATAAGTTTAATAAAAAAATCAGTTTATTTAAAAAATAAAATAAAAAGAAAAAGAAAAAATTAGGTTTATGAAAAAACTTAACATAGCAACCTAAAACTATGACCTTGCCCCCCACCCATTGCCCGCCATAGCTAACCCCTAAAATCACAGCAGCCCACTCACAACCTACCCCTTTAACCATAACCACCAACTACCATTCTTTAAATCACCTCTACCTATTCTTTCATTTATGCAGCCTTACCACTCTCAACCCCCACCAATAGCTCCCAAAGTTTACCCAAATCGTAGTCCATCTCCACTGCAACCACACAACATCCCAACCATACAACCACCACTACATTAGCATTGTCAAAGTTTAGAAGCCAGATAAGAGAAGGAAGAAAAGCATCATCAAAGTACAGTTTCGCTTAGTGTTGAAGTTGCTTTTTTGAAAGAAGTGCAATTCTAATCGGGTTTCAAAACCTTGGTTTAAAGTGAAGAAGAAGATGCAAATTTGGGATGTTGTAGTGTAAGAGATTACAGATAAGCTGATTGAAATGAAGAATGAAAGGGGTTGGATTTTTTAGGGATTACATTTACTTAGAATTAGTGAACCGGTTTATGCCTTGAGCTGATTGGACCAGCGGTCTGGAACTATTTTTTCGTTTGTTATCGGTCCAAAGTGATTTTTAGTAATTTTTGGGTTTTTAAGTGAACCGAACCGGAGTCACGGTCGGTTCCTAGTTGAACCGGCCTGTCCGATCCAAGTTTCAAAACAGTGGCTACAACCATCAACAAATTATATTCCTCTCAATACTTATCAAAATCTTCTTCACCATGTCTCGAATAGATTCATTTTCATCTTGTGACTTTTTAATCAACAATACTTTCACCCGATAAACTGCGTTAAGAAATAAATTTGACGTTGGATAGTCACTCCTAGATATGATATTAGTTGTAGAACTGGCGTTTGACTAATCTAGATATAAGAGCATATTTGGTAGGTTATTTGAGAAAATGTTATTTAGAAAAACTGTTTGAATAGGATAGGATATGATTAAATCAAATAGGATAGGATTCTCAGAATGTGTTTGGTATAATATCTGAAAATTATATCTAAGTTGGGTTTGGTACTTTTTTTGGAAAACATTTTTTTGAAAATATTTAAACTAATTTTAACCTCTTACATTTGTTAATTTAGCTAACCCTCCCCCCAACACAATAAAAGTTATAAATTAACAAAAACACTCCCATCCCCCAAAAACTATTGGCAGCCAACCATCACCGTCAGATGGAAGCTGACAGTCGTCGGAATGGCATACAATCGACTGGATCTGGCTAATCATGCACCGATTGGCCTTTTTTGGCCAGATCCAATGTGGACCTGGCCCAATACGACCATATCTACGACTAGAATTTGGTCGTTATTGATGGCCAGATATGGCCGTCGTCAACGACTAGATAGATTTAGCCATCAACGGCCAGTCGTGTGTCGTCATGGCGCCGGCTGACAATGGCTTGGGTGAGTAAGAGTGTTTTTATTAATTTATAAACTTTTATTGTGAAATATAATTGTTTTTAGTTGAATATGGTTGGAAAAATGTTAGAATAGGATAATAGAAAACAAGTCCCGCCCATTTTTCATTTTCAGTAGAAAAATCTTATTTGATTAAGATTGATTTTTAAAATAATGATCTCAATAAGTAAACAAACACATATCTGTTTTTTTAATCCGAATGATTGAAAAGAGTGAAACAAACCGGGGGTAAAATATTTGGGTAGATTTTGTGTGCAACGGGAAATAATTAAAATATTGGGGAGTAGATTTATTTTGTTGTATTAAAGATTGGATTAATTTTGTTATGAATCGGAAAGAATTCAATTAATCTAAAGGGGTTTATAGATTTTGAATTATTTTGGGTTACTGAAAATTTTGTTAGTATTTTTATACATATATTTTTATTGGGACGTATGATTTTTGTTCTTACTAATTCTTTAATTTGTTTTATATTATTTTTTTACAAAGAATTTTATTAATATTAATATTTTAAGCTTTCTTTTATTAATTTCTATGATTCAAAATTCAGAAATGAATGCTTCAAGGGCAATTTAGTCTTTGTATTCATATGTACCAATGTTAAATGATAAAATTCATTAATGGAACCTAACGGAGGGTGGGCTTCGTGTGTTTCGAAACCAAGGGTGGCAAATATATTCAATAAAGTTAGGGTGGGAAAATGATATTTGGCCTAAATTAAATACCAAAACCTTTATAGAACAATGATCGGAGGAAATTGTTACTCTAGAAAGTAAAAATTTTATTATAAATTTTATGAAATATATCTTATTTTCATTTTTACTTTTTATTGATTATTAATATGAAGAATTGTTTAATTAATTATTTGTTGTGGAATTTTTTTAGATGAATTGAATATTATGATGGAATAAAGTAAGCAAATAGCATAGGGGTACAATATATTAGCCCATCCACGTAAAATTTGTCCATTAGATTTATAATAATTTCTCCAGTAGATTGAATCATAATCATAATACAAGGATTATCATTTAATTAATTAATTTTTTAATTTCATTCATTCTAATATTGTATATAAAAAGTTTAATTAGATTTGTTTTTTTCTAGTACAATGATGCTATTGGCCCCCCATATTTTATCTCCCATAACCCAATTATTATTAAATTTTTAATTATAATTTTAGCCTTTATTAAAATTACTAAATAAGACACAAAAGACTACAAAAGAGTTATACGTATCTACAAATTTTATTTCTTCTTTTAATCATAACTCTAATTCTATTTTCAAATAACAAAAACATAATTTATGCAATTGAAAGAGTTCGATAAACTTAATTAAAAAAAAAAAAAAAAAAGAGTTTGATAAAGATCAAGTAAATAGAAACGTGGTGGATATTATGCTTTGCAATTGTAAGTTGCTTTGTAATTTTTCTTTTATTTTTTCTTCTTATGCACTTCTCTAAAATTTATAAATTAGTTTGATATGTGTATAAGGTTACATTCAAAACAAGAAACATAAAAATATTAAAAATATAAATAAAGGGTATTTTAGGAAGTAGATGGGTTTATAGAGACATTTACATATGCAATAAAGATGGGCTGACAAACCTTTCTCACTAATTTTCTTTCACAAATGCGACGTAACAACTCATAATTGGTCAGATAAGACCCATTGTTGGGCAGACACGACCCATTGAGAGCTGACCAATTGCTAGATGTCACATCACATTTGTAAGAAAAAGTTAGTGAAAATGGTTTGTGAGCGTAGTATTACTCACATGTTAAAACATTTTAATGGGGTAAATTTAAAAGTCGGGTGTGGGAGCCAATAGCATCACTCATATAATTACAATTATGGGGCGTTTGGATCATATAATGTCTTATTATGGGGGAATATTATATTAACGGAAAGAAATATCATCTTGAAGATCACTGGGAATGTTTAGAAAATATGTTTGATTGGTTTGAATAAATTAATGAATAATATGTTTGGTTGGAAGGATAAATGGGTGGATATGTTAGATAGATTACTAAATTGCTCTCTTTTTTACATATTAATATAATAGTATTTTTTATTATTATTTTTTTAATCATTTTTTTAACCCCCTACATTTGAAATTTTGCTAAAACACCCCAGCCATATAAAACTTTAATTTATAGCAAAATCACCCCCACCCACCCCAAGCCATTGCCAACAGCCAAACACCACCACTAGTTGACGTCAACAGTCGACAAAATGGTGCACGATTGGCCGTATATGGTCGATCGTGCACCGACAAAGTCGAAAATGACCATGGATCACAAATCTATGGCCGAAAAATAGCCAGATCTATGGCCATTTCACGACCAAAGATGTGACCATGAAACAGCCACAAATTTGGCCGTGAAAAGGCTAGATCTTTGGCCGTGCCATTTCACGGCCACATCTTTGGTTGTGAAACGGCCATAGAAACGCTATATCTGGCCGTTTCTAGCCATGGTTATGTGGCTGGAAAAGGCCTTATCGGCGCACGACCGGCCAAATCCTGTTGGTCGTGCACCATTACGATGACTGAAGCCGTCGACCAGCGGTGGTGAGTCACGGCCGGCGATGGTCTTGGGTGATTGTATGTATTTTGTTAACTTTTAAACTTTTTTGTAGCTGGCGTGTTTTAGCTAATTTCTCAAATGTAGGGGGGTTGGGTAATTGATATTTGATAGATATTTGAGGGCAATTGTGTCTAAAATAGTTTTTAATTAAGAGCAAAATGTTTAGAAAAATCAAATTACTCTGATAATTTTTTAATAACACCCTTAGCAAGGTAAAAAGATTAACCTCTACATTGCCAACAGTAAACACTATTTACAATAAAAGATTATCGTAATATTTTCTTATTTGTAAACTAAATACCAGAATCTTGCAAAATAAACGAAGATTACCCCCGTTATCTTATATACTCCCGATCCAAACGACCCCTTAGAGTTAATTACCCCCTAAGTTTTATACAAATTAAATATTTCCCCTCAATTATCGAAAATAACAAATTACCTCCTAATGACTATGAGCCGTTAGTAAGTGCAATTATAGTTAATAACCCTAGTAACAGTCCCCATTGCCAAGACCCATTTTACTATCTTTGATTCAGGGTATTGGTATGGTCATGAGGGATGTAGCCGGGTTTTTTAGTAAATGGGTTCAAAACATCTAACTTGATAAATTTACAATAAAATATATATTAAAGTCCCAAATCTTATAACTTAGGCTTTTCAAAATCTAAGAATTTAATATTCCAATTTCAAACACATTTCATTAAACTCAACAAAATTCATGATCTTTCATCAAGCGAAAAAAAAAAAACCCAAATCTTATAACTTAGGTTTTTTAAAAAAAATTTCTATTATCCTATTAAAATTCAACTTATAAACCAATGAAAACTCATCAAATCCGACTCTAAATATCAAGCAATTAACCAATATATCAAAATTAACTCAAATTCTCAAATCTCTACAACTTAGGGTTTCATCAATTCTTTAAACTCATTCAAAATTAACTTAATAACTAACTAAAATTTATCAAACCCAATTTAAAACAAAAATTAATTAACCCATACCTCAACATAAACAAAATTAAATCAAAATATACATCAAAATCTGTGAATTTAATCTTCCAAATTCAAACCCATTTATTAAACTCAACAAAAACCCATAGGTCATGATCTTTCATCAATTAAAAAAGCTAAAAGAAAATATTTTTAAACAAAAAAAAGAAAAAGAAAAAATGAGCATCATCTTACCTTGTAATCTCCAAATGAATAGTTTTTTTTTTTAGTAATCCAATCAAAGGAAGAAGAAAGTATGAGAGATAAAGAGAGGAAATAAAAAAGAGAGAAAATGTATTAATTAATTCAAATTATTGTGGGGTCAAAATTGTAAATTCCATAATATATAACGACATTATTATTATTTTTTTTTTCGAAAAGTTGAGTGGGTTCAATTGAACCCACAATTATGTATGTGGCTATGTGCCAGGTAATGGTTGGGGGTATGGCTTGGCTTAGGGTGTGGGTTTACTCCTTTGGCTTGGGGGGGGGGGGGGTGGGGGGTGGGGGGGGGGGGGGGGGGGTGGGGTGGGGGGGGGGGGGGGGGGGGGGGGGGGGGGGGGGTGGGGGGGGGTGGGGGGTGGGGGGTGTTGGGGGTTGGGTTTACTATATTTTTTTGGTTTAGAAAATGAGGTAAAGACTTAGGGTGTGTTTGGTTGGGATAATATCAGATTACTGAGATAATAACTTCTTATATTACTTTATTACCACGTTTAATTGTCAAGTAATATAAGATTTCGACAATCTTCCAAAACCAATAGTAATTATTGTTAATAATATAAGAGGTAATCAGATTACCTTCATTTTCTTAAGTACTTTAAGACTACTTGGCAATCTTATTTTTGTTACAATTTTACCCCCAACTATTAAAATTTTTGGATAATAATGCCCTTGTTTTAAAAATAATTTACAAAAATACTAATGACTATTTTATCCTTATTTATATTTTTTTAGGACATAAATACCCCTGGATATTAAAAAAATTACCCAAGGTGGCCATTGTTGTCGATGCCAGAACGGTGCACGATCGGTTTGATCTGGCTGGCTGTGTGCCAATCTGATTGTTTCTAGCCATATCTTTGACCAAATACTTCTAGTTTGTCGTAGATCTGGTTGTTTCTGGCCAGATCTACGGCCAAACGACTTGATCTATTTAGCCGTCAATGGCGACTAGATCTTTGGCTGTTAACAACGGTTAGATCTTTGGCCATCAACGGCCAGATGTTTGGTTGTTAATGATAGCCAGATCTCTGGTTGTTAACGACGGCCAGTTCTGGTCGTAGATTTGGCTATTTTTGGCCAGATCCATGATGGATCCGACTGGAAAAGGCCATATTGGCGCACGACCGGCCATATCATACTGGTCGTGGGCCGTTCAGGCCATCGTCGTCATCAACGACGGTGGTGGCAGGCGGCCGACAGTGGCTTGGAGTGGGTGGGGGTGTTTTTGTTAAGTTTTAAAACTTTTTTGGTTATTGGGGTGTTTTAGCAGTATTTTAAATGTAGCGAGTTAAAAAAAAATTCAAAAAATAACAATAAAAATAATATTATATTAATATTTAAAAAGGAGGGTAATTTAGTAAATTATATAACATACCTACAATTTATTAATTCCAACCAAATATATTAATATAATATACTCACCAATTAATTCCAGCGAACTAAATACATTTTTCTAAACATTCCTAGTAATCTTCAAGGTAATCCTCTTTCTATTAATATAACATTTCCAATAATACAACATTCCCTGAACCAAACACACCCTTAGAGTTAGATTAGTCATTTCGTTTGTTTGACTTAGTCAATTGATGAAAAATAAATGGCTGTGTAACACTAAGGGGTAAATTGTTATTTCCAATACGTCAGGGGGAAAACTAATATTCACGAAACCTCAGGGGAAAAAAAATCTCTTAAAATTTATTAACTCGAAAAAACCAACCCTCCTCCTTCATCTCCGTCTTGCGCAAACCGTTAGAGCCTCCTGCCCACCTCCACTATACTCCCCTCCCCCTGCGCAACCCATACAAACCCACACTATCCTTCCTATAATCTCTTCTCACTTTTAATTTACCAACTCCTGACAGAGATTGTGGTGTCAAGTGTTGAAAGGTATATAGTGATTTGCGTTTTCGTTGTTAGACAGATTAAGGGTATATGGTGATATTGGTGGTGGTTTTGGTGTTGGCGTCAATGGTTGGATGTTTTGATGCTAGTGGCGGCAGTATATATCTTGGTTTTTGGAGATTTTCTAGGTGTATGGAAATTGTGTAAATTGATATAATTACCGTTCATCTATTTCATTTGAAGTAGCTTAATAATTAGGCTTCCAACTTCATTTCCAAGATTTAGGGTTCTAAATTTTTTTTGCCTGCTTTTTGGGTTTGGTTAGTGGTAATTAGTTCACAACTTGTTTCGAGGGTTTAGACTTGAGGTTTATGGTGTTTATTATTATTATTATTATTGTTGTTGTTGTTGTTGTTATTATTATTATTATTATTATTATTTTAAATAACTTACTTTTGGGGAATTTTTGTATAAGAGTAGTTACTTTGAGTTTGTTTTTGTTTTTAGATAATTTAAGTTAAGGAATTTATTGGGTTTTAATATTTTCATTTTTGTTTTTCAGCTAGCAAATAGAAACGAGCATTGGAGCTGAGAGAAGGAATAAAGATCAATTGCTCTTGCTGGTATGCTCTTCTACACTACCTGTTTGTTTGATGCGTTCTTCTATTTGATAAAGCTTGTTTTTGTTCTGTCATTGTTGTCTCCGCAGTAAAGCTTCTGTTTAATGGAAATGGGTTTGCTTTGACTGATGGAATCTACATGTAATAACTAAATTCATTAGTTTCATGTTACGCTTTTCTGTCATTGGGGCTTGAGGTTTTGTTTCTTTGTATTGTTTATTGGAACCTATGTGTTGAGCACGTACTAAGAATTTTAATTATACTTTTAATTAAACTGCGATTTTGTTAACTCTTAGTATAAGAAATCCTAATTGCAGTTGACAACAGCAGTATTAAATTTTTATTTTTCAGCCATATATCTATATATGTTAACTTTTGAGTTTGTTTGGCTAGGTGTCATGGAAGCTGAAGAAGAAAATCCTGCATCAACTTCAGTGTTGGAGTCTTCTCCAGCAGTCCCTGATAATCAAACTCTGATGCTTACTGTTGAAACAATTCCACCTCATCCTGTCCAACCTATTATTCCACCAGTGGTCCCAGCAGCAATACCACCAGTGGTTGTGCCACCTATAGCTCCAATACCCACAATTCCTCCTCCCCAAGTTCCTGCTCCATTAGCACCTCTACCAGTCCGACCTCCTATCTTTAAGCCCGCTATGCCACCACAAAATGGGGAGGTGAGAAGCAGTGACTCGGATTCTGATCATGATGACTTGGGTCCAACACGGGCTGCCACAGGTGAATATGAGATTTCAGAGGAGAGCAGACAAGTAAGGGAACGCCAGGAAAAGGCAATTCAGGATCTTCTCATGAAGCGACGTGCTTCTGCTCTTGCGGTGCCTACTAATGATATGGCTGTCCGGGCTCGTCTTCGCCGGCTTGGTGAACCCATAACACTTTTTGGGGAAAGAGAGATGGAAAGACGGGATAGATTGCGGATGCTTATGGCAAAGCTGGATGCTGAAGGGCAGTTGGAGAAGCTGATGAAAGCTCATGAGGAAGAGGAGGCTGCAGCTACTGCTACTGCAGATGATGCTGAAGAAGAAATGATCCAATACCCTTTTTATACTGAGGGTTCAAAGGAACTCTTGGATGCTAGAATTGATATTGCAAAATATTCTATTGTTAGAGCAGCATCTCGTCTTCAACGTGCATGTAGGAAAAGGGATGATCCGGATGAAAACATTGATGCAGAAATTGATTGGGCTCTGAGGCAGGCAGAGAGTTTGTTTCTTGATTGCAGTGAGTTTGGGGATGATCGGCCACTCTCTGGTTGCTCCTTCTCACATGATGGGAATCTGCTCGCTACATGGTATCCATCCTTTTGTCTTTCTCAAGATAACATACAAGCATCAATAGAGTTTCATTTTTTATGATTTGGATGCCATTTTTTCTTGCAACGGCTAGTTAATGGATTAATATTTCAGGGGCCTAGCAATTTTTTTTTTTTTTTTCAAATAGAATGTCAGGTCACAGCTGGCTATAAAACCATAAAAATTTCCCACCTTTTAAAGAATGAATTAATGATATGTGCTCCTTGTTAGGAAAACTATTTGTATTCTGTATTTGAAACATTACACATGATAGGTCCTTCAAATTTGGTCATCTTGGTCCTTTCCCTTTTTGTGGAGCTGAGTATAAATATTCACATCATTCATGGGAAGTTCAGCTGAGAATTTTGACTTACATTTCTACCTTATTCAATTTGTTAATAGGTTTAATAGGGTGGAAATGAACTATGGCTTTGCATGTCCCTCATGATTAAATGATTCTCCTACAATGCTAATTAGAATTAATAGAATTCTTGCCTTGTTTTTTTTTTTTTTTCTTTTTCCCCAGTGCCTTAAGTGGAGTTGCTAAGATATGGAGCATGCCAAAAGTGGAAAAGGTTTCTGCCTTGAAGGGACACACTGAACGTTTGACTGATGTTGCATTTTCTCCTGTGCAAAACCATTTGGCTACTGCTTCTGCTGACCAGACTGCAAGGTTGTGGAACTCTGATGGATCTCTCCTGAATACTTTTGGAGGCCATCTGGATCGTCTTGCACGAATTTCTTTCCATCCATCAGGAAAATACTTGGGCACAACCAGCTTTGACAAGACATGGAGACTGTGGGACATAGATACAGGAGTAGAGTTGCTTCTTCAAGAAGGTCACAGTAGGAGTGTCTATGGAATTGCCTTCCACCATGATGGATCTTTGGCAGCTTCTTGTGGACTGGATTCGTTGGCACGTGTTTGGGACCTCCGTACAGGAAGAAGTATTCTTGCCTTTGAAGGTCATGTTAAGCCGGTGAGACTTTAAACTTGTGTGGTCCTGTTCTTTTTGCTATTAAATTGATTGTATTTTGCCTTTCTTTAAATATAATATTTCACTAAATTACATTTTATCTCTGCTCTTTTTTTAGGTCCTCGGCGTTAGTTTTTCACCCAATGGATACCATCTAGCGACTGGTGGTGAGGACAATACTTGTCGCATATGGGACTTGAGGAAGAAAAAATCTTTATACGTTATTCCAGCACACTCTAATCTTATATCACAAGTGAAGTTTGAGCCTCAAGAAGGGTACTTCCTAGTGACAGGGTCATATGACATGACAGCTAAGGTGCATTTTCTTTGTACAGTTTTTGTTTCGTTGAATATATGTCATCATTATTTCAGATTACTGTAGCAAATTTTTGCTTGACTCATTTAATTTTATGTGTTCGCAGGTTTGGTCTGGCCGAGACTTTAAGCTTGTAAAAACCTTGTCAGGGCATGAGGCAAAAGTTACTTCTTTGGATGTCGGTGCAGGTAACCTCTCTGGCTATTGGAAAACTAAAGCATATATCTGAAATTTTTATTTCTTTCTGTTCTTTTATTGAGATCAATTTGCATCGTTGAGAAATTCTGTGCTGCAATATATCCTGCTTCACACTCTTGAAGTGTAATATCCAGATGTATGCATTATAGCTCAACTTTTTTGGTGTTACTACTAAAGTTTTTCTTTCAAGTATATAATCCAAGTTTTCCAAAAATCTTATGCTATGTAAACTTTTCCAGTCCTAAAATTTCTTATTGCACCTGGAGTAACTTTTTGGAAAACTTATGAATATCAAAATATCTTTAAGAGTTTGACGTCACGTTGCAACTGTCAGAAACTTCCGAAATTGTTTTTTTTTTAATTGGTGCAAGATATATACTTAAGGTACTGAGTAATTTTTTTTAAGCTCCACAAATCCTGTTACTGGTTTTTTTTTTTTTTTTTTTCACTTTCTGTGTTTCTGCCACATAGCTTCATTTTTGAAGTAGATTTGCGCTTTTCTGGCTCTAAATAACCATTCCAGGATATGAAGAGAAGAGAAAAGATAAAGCAATATTAATAAGTTTCTTAATACAACTTCTATTTGGTTTGGATCTTCACAAGAAACTTAGGGCTGTTCATTTTGTGGCATAAGCATGTTCAACTATGAAAGTTACATGCCATAGTAAAACATTGGATTATTGCTTAAAACAAATTTGAACAATAATATGTACATATGAGGAAAGTGATTGATGATGAAATTAGAAGCTAATAGCTTCATATATGGTGCCAAAATCAAGACCATATAGTAATATTACTTTTGAGAAGTTATGCTGTATTCAGAATAACAGAGTGCAAGAACTTTAATATGTAAGTTTTCGGTGACAAATTTGGCCTAAGAGATCTTGCAGAAGCATGGCTGTTACTGTTTTTTGCAGCACTTTTAACTCATGTCTTGTTTAGCAGGTGGAAAAACTGGTTTGAACCTTGTATTCATCATACCCTAAATTTTACAGTTTATATCTTCTGGCTTTGCCGGAAAGCTCAATTTATGCTTCTACTGTCTAGATTTCTGTTTCAGACTGGAATGTGTATGTTTTTACTAGTTTGGTAATTTATAAAGTTGGTTTAATATAGCCTTATCTTTAGTCTTCGTAATCAATATAATACAATTTTAGCTTAGTCTAGAAGGTGTTCGTTTTAAATGGCTAAGTATTGTTTCTGTTGGTTGATTGCAGATGGGTGTTCCATTGCGACCGTCTCACATGATAGGTGGATCAAGCTGTGGTCGGTCAATAGAAAGGAGCAGGCTATGGATGTTGACTGAGTTGCCATTTAGCTTCATGGGTTCTCTATTTAGCTCTCTCCCAGTTTCACTTTTCAAATCTTTTTAGACAAAATGGTTTTCAGAGTACTAGTTTTTCTCAGAAACATTTTTTCTGTGAGAGATGAAAGCATCTTGCATCTGAAAGGATTTTGAAGCCACTTGTATTCGGTCTGCTTGTTCAATGATCTAACTCTGCCTTTATTTAAATTTTGTTTATATTACTGATCAAATTAGGTAAAATTGCTTGTTAATAGGAAATCTGTAACAGATTTACATTGAAAGTTATGGAATAGTGTTTTGGCAGATTCAATGTAGTTCATATTTTTATTGACAGTTGAAATGATAGAAGACAATTTTTTAGACTTGGAAAAGTTAGTAGTTTCTTCTGGATTTTACTGATCATTGGTTCCACACTAATGCAGATGTTTTTAGTTTCATTCATTCTGTTTCACTGTTGTGGTAATATTATTCTTATCTAAACTAACATAAAAATACATCATTGCCTCAATTTCTTATTGTTGTGATTTTCAGTAGTTAGGAGAGGGGTGATTTTCAAGGTGTTGTTATACTTTGTGTTTAATGTCTGAAATGGATATTTTATTTTATAGCTAAGGGGGCGTTTGGTTTAGGAATGTTAGATTACTGGGAATGTTGGATTATTGGAAAGATAGATTATCTTGGAAGATTATTGGGAATCTTTAAGAAAATATGTTTTGTTAGTTGGTAGGTATGTTATATTAATATGTTTGGTTATAGGAATAAATTGGTAGGTATATTTTTTAAATTACTAAATTGTCCCACTTTTAAATATTAATATAATATTATTTTTATTATTAATTTTTGAATAATTTTTTAACCTCCAATATTTCAGATTTAGCTAAAACACCCTTGCTTATATAAAACTTTAATTTATGACAAAATCACCTCCACCTCCTGTCGTCGCCTGTCGCCACCGCGAACCACCGTCGAAAAATCGTCGGAGTCCCTAAAAAAGAAGGAAATTCTATGGGATGCTCCAGGAGGCTTTGATATGGTCGGAAACGGCCATATCAGGCTAGATTTGGCTGAAAATCTGGCCATTTTCTACCAGATCGATGGATTTGGCCGTTAACGGCCAGATCTCTAGCCATTATCGATCAGATCCCTAGCCATTATCGGCCAGATCTGGACCAGATCTGGCCGTTATTCTGGCCAGAATAGATTTGGCCGTTAACGACCATGTCCGTGACCGTTAACGGCCAGATCTGGCCCAGACTTGGCCGTTAATGGCCAAGGATCTGGTCGAAAATAGCCAGAATAGATCTAGCCATTTCCTGCCAGATCTGGCCTGATATGGCCGTTTTTAGCCATCAATATGGCTGGAAACGGCCATAGCGAAGCTTCCCGAAGCCTCCCACATAATTTTCTTCTTTATTAGGGACTCCAGCGATTTTTCGGCGGTGGTCCGTGGTGGTTGGCCTGCTGTCGGCGGTGGTGGCTAGGTGGCAGTGGTGGTGGTGGCTGGGTGGTAGTGGTGGTTCGTAAATAATTTTAAATATAAGGGCATTATTGTCCAAAATTTTAATTAAACAGGGGTAAAATTGAAATAGGATATTAATGTAAATTTGTTTTAAAATAGGGGTATTATTGTCCAAAATTTTTATTAATACGGGATAAAATTGTAACAAAAAAATAACCATGGTAATCTCAGAATAGTAATTACTATTGGTATTTGAAGATTACCGGTATCTTATATTACTTGACAATCAAATATGATAATCAAGTAATATAAGATGACATTACCTCAGTAATCTCACTTAATCCCCAATCAAACGTCCCCTAAATAAATTATATTAATAATAAGTTAAAGTTGGTTCTTGACCACTGTTTTCAATCGATGCTGGCAGAGCGGAGCAACGTTTTTTTAGAATTTATATAAAAAGCTCTTTTTTTAGTCCCTATCAATTAAACTTTTTATTAATCCTCTTAGTTTTTGAATTGACACTTTGGCCCTCATAAATATAACTTCGTATATGGCCTCATTCGTTGAGTATTATTTTGGCCACCCTACCACTGGTAACACATACATTACATAGAAAATACACAACAATCGCATCCCTATACAAAGTCGATAAATGTCCCATCCCTTTAACCAATTTTGTACTTTGAATTAGCATGCCACTAAAGAATTTCCCCTGCCTTTATTCAATGACTGTCCTTATAACTAAAACAATATTGTTTCCAATTCACACAAAACATAACAATTAATCAAAGTCAATCAATGAACATTAAATAATGCAATTGAAATCAAGCAATCACAACGAATTTTTAATGTGGAAGGTGAAAAGAAAAACCATGAGGTGATGGTAAACCAACTTCCAATAAACAGTAAATATGTAACAAGAAAGTTCTTTCCCATAATGTGTTAGGGACACATCTGTTTGTTTTATTGTTCACACCTTATCCTACCCAAAATACATATTTGTTTCCACCGTAAAACAATAACTCATTATTTCTATGTTCACCAGGTACGATGACTCCCTTTGTTCATCTCTACTTTCCACAAGGTAAGATATGCCATTTACATCACAACCACCATATGTTTTCCAATTTATGTATGATTGACAGGCAATATTGTTAAGTAATAACTTTTTAAATAGTATCAGCTACCGTCCCTGCGGTTTAACAAAAATCCAATTTCTCACCAACTTTGGATAAACCCTCAAGCCTCAAGGGAGGTGGCTAAGGGTTTCTCAAATAACTGGGATTTTTGTTAAACCTCAAGGGATTTTTTAATAACCAATCCGGGGTGAAACCCCGTAAAGTGGTTGGGTCTTGAGTTGATCAGTGCCCAAATGTTTAAAATACAACAAAAACACTCCTAAAAATAACATATAAGTCCCTACAAACACCACCTCCGACGTACAAAAACCAAGGCAAATATGACTTGTTTCCGACAACAACAACACTCCTCCCTCACCACGAAAACACTCCCTGATTGCCTTGCCAATCGACGACAACATCCAACTTTGTGCTGATTTAGTTTTGCATTTCTAGTGATTACTCACCAAAATCACTTCCTCACCACCATTGCACTCACCGACCTTCCTCTTCAAAACCCCCAACACACCAACCTTCAATTTTCGCTTCGTTGTCCTAATTTATTTTTTTTCGTGAATAGAAAATTGAACCCGACCATAAGATCAGAGTCTGATTGAACCAATTCAACCGACTAAGCCGGATCGGGTTTTAAAACACTGCTATAATAGCCCTGTCAATATGTATAGTTGTTTTTTGTGTTCTTATTTTGAAAAATAACAACAAATTTGAATTTTGTACTTCTAAAAATTAAGAATCTATTCATCTCAAAAAGTGTGTACATCATTTTCATATGGTAAGTATGAAACATTGCAATATAATAGGGAATGTTAACATAATAAACATTGCTTTTTACATTGTGTATTTATAGATTTCTAGTTATACCTGTGATTCTTATGCTTTAAAAAACAAAAAATAATCAAGTAATAATACCCATCTTGTAAGATACAAGTAGAGAACGAAAAGAAGAAAATGAATGCGATTTCACTTCTCCAAACAAGTATTATGCTTTCATATTCTATATTGCGTTAGCAACATCTGTGTGGATATCAAAATGCCAAAAAATGTACTTGGGAATTGCTGGCTTAAACTTACTCTTTTTTCTACACCGAAAACTCATATCATATGCCACAACATTCTCAATTTTTGTAAGCAAAAGTTAAAAACTATAACAAGAAGATAATTTCTTGGACACTACACTGCTGCCTCAGCCTCATTTGTACCAACCAGTGAGGAAGTACCTCAGCACAAAACATAGTGCGCATGCGATAGCCTGTTCATGTTCAAACATAAACTGTTGATGTTCAAACATAATCATACATACAATCAACATATGCAATATGACAACCCTAATTAAACTGCCTTGGCATCTCATCAACTTAAACTCCATTGGTAGTATCTATGAAAATGATGTTCTCAAACGACTAAAAACTCGACAACTTCAGAAAATTCTTAATTTAAGTTACAGTGGTACTTTTGGTTGGGTTACTAAACTAGACTGCATGTTTGAAATTATATCAACTGATTACTTATTTACAAAACAGCAGGACCCAAAACATAGCAAGTTCAGGTAGATCTTCTCACTTCTAGCCCAAGTAAAAGGGAAATATGCTGGTTCAGAAAGGATTTAGTCATCTATTGCATACCCAGGCTTTGATTACATGGTCAAGGGGGCTTGGAAGCGGATTCAAAAGACTAAAGATGAAAAAGTAAACTAGTTAAAAGGAAAATGAACATAGACAAGAAATAGTTCACCTGGAAAACAAGAAGTGCAGTGCAAAGTCTATTTTCTGACATCTTGCCAAATATTCTTAAGAAGAAGTTAACAAGTGTCCCGTCATTCGTCCCAGTCAACAATCCAGTCTGAGGGTCAAACCTGACAATTGAGAAGTACGAAAAAGTATCCATAAGAAAATTTGCATAGGATGCCAACAGAATTGCCTCAGTATAAAACTCAAGCAAAAGTGCAAAGAAAGCTACCTAGGCAAACGATGCCGTGGGCATTTGACGAAGCCAAAAAGCTGATAAAATTAACTTCAAATTAGATGCCTTGCATATCTAGAGATCTACAAAGAATTGGAAGTTGAGATAGAGAGTTTATTGGATCAAACCTGGGGGACTGACAAGAGAAAGTTTATCACTTGAGGGGCAAAGAAAATCAGCAGTGTCTCACTGAATGAGGGAAAAAGAAGTCAAATTACTTACCAGGTAATGATATGCATATTAATCCATGTAGATTACAGCTTAGTAAACACAAATATATTAATATAGAGGCAAAATAAGGCAGCAAAAATGCACAATTGACAAATTGTAAGTACTAAATATTGATAAACAGTAGTACATTGAATTCAGTAGCAATGGAGTATGAGATTGCCTAATGAGTATAAAGTTCTAGTTAAGGTTGCAATTTACGCAGGCAGGAAGAAATAACTAGTTTGTTTTCAAATATCTTTCTTTTATAAATGAGAATGAATTAGAGTCTAAGTCAGGTAAACCTGTTTATAAATAGAGCTTGGTTTCATGAAGGATACACATTCCAAAGAAAATCAGGGATACAAATTCCAAGTCTTAGTGTGGCTGAAGATTATATATGTACATACATACTTGCTCATTTAAAAAAAGATATACACATACATATGGCGACTGAGGTGGAAGGCTTGATCTCCAATTCAATTATTCACCAACACATTATTCTCTCATGCTGAAACAGTAAAGAACTTCTTATAAACGAAGAGCATGCAGGTGTATTTCTTCAATCTCTTTCTATTAGCATTAGAAAAATAATGGCCAATTTCCAACATACATGTTTTAAAAGGAACCTTTGCAATTTGATTCTACAGAAAATTCTAACCATAAATTTCTCAGGTATGTTGAACAGATTTGTCCAAATATTATTGTTATTATTATTATTAATTTTTTTTTTAATTATTTTTTTTAATGATAATTAAAACTTACAAAATAGTGAAATGAGTAAATACAAGAAACACACCTGAAATGGCCTAGAATCCCAATTACAGCCATAGCCATACCAGCGAAGTACGTGTAAGTGTCTCCAACAAAAACTGAAGAGGGATACCTAAGGAAACAAGAAAAATAGTAAAGTGTTATTAAGACTTTATTATATGGTCAAGCAATTAAACTCAGTAAAAAAAATAAGTGCTATTACCAGTTGTAAGAAAACAAAGCCAATGATGTGGCTAATAAGGGTTGAACCAGATAAATAGAGAATGCGTGTGCCTGTTTATACTCAGGATCCACAGACGCTCCAATTTGCATGATATTATGTATCAAAATCTGTAAATTGCTAAGAATTGTCAGATTCGAAATAAAAAATGGATTGAACCTATTTCACCATAAGTGTGCTTACAGCAGATGCAATCACAACAGTTTGCCCCACTTCAAGGCCATTCAAACCAGCATGAATATTAATGGAGTTTGTACAAAAAACTGCCAAAAGCCCCATATATAGTTTATATATCCATCCTGTACCATCAAAAAACAATCTTAAGTTGCAGTAGAAAGATAACCAATATAGAGGAGTATGATGAAGAATCTAAAAAAAATCATGAGAAAAAGAGAGAAAATGCCATAATGATATTTTAGTGATTCTCATTCTACTATTTCATATTGTCTCAAATTATTCAAAACCATACCTAGATCCAAAATCTTGAAGCCAACATAAGGAACAAGAGGTTTTGGTATAATAATAGTGGTATGTCCAGCATATGCCATCAACAAGGGAAGAGCAGCAAATGACGGCAGTAATAACTTCCTGCGCTTCACAATTTCAATAAAGCATAAAAAGATTTAATAAGCATTAATTTACAAGGCTGATGGGAAGAAAACAACTTCTTCCAACAAATTAACATGTTTTTAATAGTGCTGAAAATCTTATGAAGAGACAGGATACTCACACTCTCCAAGGGACATCGAGGACATCATCTACAAATCCAAGCAAAAGCATGAAGCATATGGATGCTAATGCTGCATTGTACTCAACAAGCCACTGCATGAATGAAAGATATGAAACTTAAATATTACAAATTCAGAACATGCATAAAACTCAGTTTGAAACTGAAGTCTCCGTTTTAGTTTTGTATTAATTAAAGGGGGTTCCCCATCTAATCATATGCAAGAGACATTTTTACTATCTTATACCTGAAAATTGAAGAGACAAATGGGAGGGAAAAAGTCAGAAACTAAATCCTTCCAAAGGAAACCAGCTAAAGGCAAAGAAATCTCCTGATACGTCAATGTCACTTGGACTAGATAAAGCTTAATATAAAAAAATCTTATTCCGATAGGACATTTACATGCTAGTCATATGAATTATTATATCTTTTTCTGTTGAGGCTGCTCAGCCTGCTAAAAGTCAAAAGCTTCAGAACCAATTGTTTCTTATGGAAAACTAGTTTAACATTTTATCCTAATTCTTTTGTGATAGGCCAGATCTTAATGAAAATACCAACAACTTAAGTTAACTAACCTTGACTGTATTGCTTTATTGATCATGTATTATCATAGATCATAAGCCATAACATCTATTTTGTAACCTCAATCAATTATCTTTTCATCCTTCCCCTAGTCATTGCAGCTCCTTCAACCTCTTCCTCTTGAAGAGTTCTATAAGTGTAGTGACAAGTCTTTTAGCTAACACAGTAAAACCATCTTTGCTTTTGATGTAGGACAGGAAGTAGAATGAAAAATGAAAGAGAAAATAAATGGGGGAAATTAGGAGAGAAATACAGATAGAGGCAGTAGAGAAACAATATGTTATTCAATTCATTCAAGTCTGCATTCTTTTGTGTTAGGTTACATATTAGGCAAAATACAAACAAATTAAGTCAATTGACCTTCAGTGTATTGGTTTATCGATATGAATTATCATAGACTATAAGTCTTAATATCTTTTCTTGTAAACTCATCCAATAATCTTTTAACCCTCCCCCTAGCCATTGTAGCTCCTTCAACGTCTTACTCTTGAAAAGTTTCAACTCCCACTTTTCCCACAATCACAATCATTTATTTCCTATACAACAAAATGAACATCTGTATGCATTCATTGTCCATCATTTTGTTGACACAAGTTTCTAACTTCCAAGTTTCTTACAATCACAATCAATATTGTCCTATATGCTTTCTTATCCAGAAAACTACATACTCCAAAGTCTTTTATGTAGATCTGACTTAGGAATATTCTGGTGCCTATTTAGAGGTCTTAGAATTGAATCAATGACTACGCCAAAGTTGACAAGTATAAAGTCATAGAGCAACTGGCTTAGAAAGCAAAATATGCTTCAAGTTTTATCAAAAGGTCAACTAATAATTACTAAAGCAAAGATTTTAGAGATTTTGGGATTTTCTCTGTATTTATTTATATAAATAAATCCGCAATAAATTAATAAAAAGATGAACTACAAACTTAAGAGAGATACGGACTTACATTTGAGTCTGCAGTAAAGTTAAAATACTGAAACAATATGGCCAAGACCATGAATACAATCCCAACAACAATACCCAATGACTCTGGTCTGAAAAACAAAAGTTAAGCATCAGTAACTAAATCACATCCAATGAACTAGTCAAAAGAGATATTAGATGCTATATTTGTCAAAAACGAAAAAAAAAAAAAAATACTTGCTCCTTGCTTGGACAATATACAGTATGTGCAAATTGAGGACCTCAATTTAGATTTTGAATAAAATCAAAGACCAATAATACATTGAATGAAATAACACAAACTTAAGTTTTATAGAACCTTATAAATCAGGAAATAGAAAAAATGCAAAGGCTTATGCATTGAATTAACCCTAAAGCGCAAATTTTCTATTCAATACACGAATAAAAATAAAATAAAATAACGCATCCTTTGGTCAAAAAAACCGAATCAAACACATGAACGCTTCATAATTCGATCAAACAAACAAAGCCCACTTCATTAACTAAACCAAATTGAAAACCCAATACATACCTACTTAACCAAATCACCCAAACAAAAAAAAGAAAAAAACTCACACTTTAACAGTGCCTTGCGGGGTGCCCTTCTTGTTGATATCAAAACCAAACAAGTTCCTCCTCAAAACGTATGTAGAAGCGACGGGTATCATCTTCTGGGTGACAAAGAAGCCAGCGAGACTGAGTCCAGCATTGATAAGAATGGATCTCCGGAGCTCAGATTCAAGCTGGTAGTGGTAAAAAATGAGGTAAAAGTAAGGCAATGACAATATGAAAAAAAGCTTCAAAATTAAACCCGATTTAGGAGGGGCGATTGGTGGGTCATCGGTTTTTGGAGGGACTGATACTGGGGTTGTTGGTTTGGAGGTGTCTGTTGCCGTTGAATTTGTGGCTGAGGGTCTCTTGCGAGCTGCCATCCTCAATTCTCTTCTCCGTCGTCTCGCTCAAGTTTGAAGTTTGAAGTCTGGTTGGTAGGCTTTCAGTAGTCGAGTTTTGCCAGCTTCCTACGTGTTGGTGTCATCTTGCCAATGAATTTGTGCCACGTGAGCATGATTGACACATGGCTGGACTAAATTTTAACGAGTTAAGTAGATGAGTAATGCTATACGTGCATTATCTTTTACACCATTTTTATATACACACAAATCTTTTATTTTTAATATTATAATAAAATTATTATTAGTAAAATAATTACGATAAAAATGGTGTAAAGGATGATGTAAATATAATATTATTTTAAATAGATGAATAATAGTACATATATAAACAAATATTATAAATATTTGTATATAAACTAATATGGTATAAAATAAATAAAAGAGTTAATATATTAATTTTGACTTTTTGTATTCACTTTTCTATTTAACTTGTGTCACATCAGTTTATTCGTAAATTTTTGTATGTAGATCTAGGATTATTGTAAATAGATTACCAAATTTTCTTTGCAATGATTGAAATAACGATATTATTCCCATAACGATATTTGTGCCTAATCTTACCCCACCCCAATGCTATTAGTATTAGGAGGAGAGGGTTTAGTTACGATGGATGTCTTCAACAAGTCTATGACATTTGCCTTTAAAATGTTCAACTTTACTAGGCAATTTAAATTACCTTTTTTAGGGTATCAAATGAAAACTAGCCCTTTCAAATGTTCAACTATCCAATAGTGCACCAATCATAATCTTTATATAAATTGCTTGAGATGATATAAGATTACCAACTAAAATGGTGTCCTTTCTGATGCTGGTATTATAAAGAGTCAAATATTTGCACAATGGATCAAAAACCAATCTAATGAAATATTAAAATAATATTTTTAATATTACAAATCGCAACTCTCACACACAAAACTTTCTTAAATCAAATTTCTAATTCCCAAAATCAGCACATGTTTTACTTTTACATGACAACAAAATTTCCATCTGTACAGTCAGAGCTTCCCATATCTCCAAAATTTTATAATAAAATAAGCAACCAAGGAGGAAAGTTAAAAATAGCTCTGGGATCATTGTACTTCCCTTTCCATCCAGAGGCATTGGAAGAACTAGTGCTTGAGTACAAGCCCAATTGGACAATGATCACTACCGCCAATATCAGGAAGAATGTACGAATCATGAACTTGGTCGGCTATGGATTCTGAGACAAGAAAGTAGTCAAGTCTCCATCCTGTTTCAGAATCCAATCTTAACCATATAAGCAAACAAAACATCAAATTATAGAAAGAAGAATACGATAAAGATTTAACACTAAGATCATATTGTCGGCACAAGAATTATCCTGAAATCTTGCAAATTTGGACATATTACAGTATTTTGAAAATATACAAACAAAATGCAGTAAGTCAAAACACTCATCTACCTTTATTGGTTTTTCTCGCACCATGCCGATAACCCCAATATGTATAGCCAACAACGCCAGGATGTTGTGCTCTGAAGGTATCCACAAATCCCTGAGATAAGAAATTCTTGCCAAATGATTGCCTTTCTTCATCTGTAAAGCCAGCACTTCTTTTGTTTCCCTATGAAAAGATGCAGATATTACAGAACATAAAAATTAAACTGTGGTGACAATATCACTATGTTATTATACATATAACAGATGGCACAATGTTGGTTTTACTATATTTGCAAATGATGGTATTGATGTCAGAGCAAAAAGAATCAAAACAAAGCGCCAAGATTTTAAAACACTTACAGCAGGGTTATAAATGTCTATCTCTTGATGAGCACAATTTAGATCGCCTGTCAAAATGACAGGCTTCTTCTTTTCCAGCTCCTGGATCATTCATGCAAAACATCATAAGCATTAACTTATACAATATGAATGACACACATCAAATAGCTAATAAACTTATTTTATGGAGGGAAAAAATCCAACTAACATACACTACACCTAAAAAAAATAGATGGAACGTATACAATTGCACACTAAATTCAATAATTAAGAGTAATACTACACTTACAAAGAGCTCTATACAAAGTGATGTGACAAGTGGTGTGGCAATGCCACATCATCACTTACCAACTCAGTCTTTTGTAAAACATTTAATAATTAATTAATTGTGTTAATTAAAATATTTTAGTTAACCCAAATTCAGAAAAAAACAAAAAAAAAAATGGATTCTAAAATACTTCTCACCACCACTAGATCAGAAAACCCCAATTCCCTTTCAAATAACAAAAAATAAAAAATAAAAAAATTCCTGTAGCCATTCACCGGCTACCGGTCGTGGTTAAGGCCAAGCCGCGCGGCTTACCCTCATAACGAGGTCTATCTGAATTAGGCCTTTGCTTCACCGACGATTATAAGCCCTGCGGCTTCACCAGTGAAAGGCCAGATCTAGGCCTTAGCTTCCGAGAGACCAGACCAGATCTGGTCTCAATCGCCGGCGAATCCCATCGGTTTCTAATCGCCAACGAAGCCGCACTGCTTCTCTCTCCCCTACTATCTCTCACCTCGCTATCATTCATTGTCGAGACTTTGCAACCCGATTTTGCTCAACGTTAATTTGATTTGGGCTGAAGATTTAATTTGATTTGGGTTATATAGGTTTAATTTTTGTAATTTTGTTTTTTTTTTTTTAAAGATCTAGTGGAGATGAGATGTGTTTTTGTATTAGTTACTTGATGGGTTTTATTTTGTTGTAATGGATGTTTTGTTGGTGAAAAATGAGAAGGATCAATGAATAACGTGAACGAAAGACTAACAAATTTTGTTCATTTTGTTGTAATGGAGGTGATTGATGAATTAATGAAGATTAATCTGTAAAATGATCTAGTATTAACTATTCTGGTTAAGTTTTTATTTGATTTTTTTTATTAGTTTGCTGTTAATTTAGTATTGAAGATTGGTGGTGGTGGGTAGGGTTTATTATTTGAAAGGGAATTAGGTATTTCTGATTTAATGGTGGTGAGAAGTATTTTAGAATCCAACTTTTTTTTTTGAGTTTGGGTTAACTAAAATATTTTAATTAATTAATTATTAAATGTTTTACAAAAGCCTGAGTTGACAAGTAATGCCACATAACTTTGTATGTGACTCTTTTTAAAACTCTTTGTAAATACAGTATTACTCAATAAATAATTAAGACCTCTGTTTCTTGAAAAGCAAAAGGCTAGCAGACATGGACAAAAAGATCACTCTCTACCGTACAAAGACATAGGAGATGACATGGCTTCTAACAGCTTACATATACTGCATGTAGATTAAGTATAAAGAGAAGAAGCCTGCTTACTTTCATGTGCCTGCCAAGAGATGGATCCCAATCTGTAATCCTGTATGACTAGAATTAAAAGAAAAGCCATCAGTCCAAGAAAAAATCTTGAAAAATAGCATAAACTAGCAATATAACACAAGATGGTTAAGGTCATTACCAGTCTTCTCAAGCCATCCCCAGAGTTAGGAACATAGGTGTTTAGTAAATAAAATGAATCGAACTCAGCTGTCACAAGCCGTCCCTCATTATCATGATCTTCTATACCAAGGCCATATGTGACTGAAAGTGGTTTTATCTGTCCAAAAAGTGCTACGCTTTTAAACAAAAATTAATCATAAGCAAAACCACTACCAAAGTGACCACTTGCTTGCAATTTAAAAACCATTAGCAGGTAGTCAGATACTTGGTAGTAGGAACCAAATAAAAAAGTCAACATAAATGCTTGCAATTTATTAAAACTTACAAAATTAAAAGGAAACTCATTATCAAAATTTGCAAAGAGGACAAAAGTTCTGTTTTTAGCATTAAAAAGATTAATCATATACAAGCAAGTTTTTACCATAATTATACATATTTATATTAGATAACACACTGTTATTCTCAAAATCATTATACATCTCAAACTCAATGTAAGAAATTTGATAGCTATAACTTAATTCAATGATGTCATTTGTGAAACTATTGTGCTGCTTATTTCATCCAGAATACTATAAGAATTAAAAGGGGAAGAAAGAAAGAAAAACCAACGACATTATAATATTTATTAGGAACTGATTGATTGGTTTATAAAACTGAAGATTTTAAAGTGATAATCTAAAATAACTAAATATAAGGTGAGCAGATATAATCATTCAGTTGAAATTATTAGCGTTTGTACAAGAAATAGCCTCCCCACTGATGAACAGAGATGAAGAGCATGTCTTTTTCCCAAACAAAGCAAGAGAATACTTGATTTTGTGAACAATAAAATAGACTGCTTATTTTCAAAATTGATTAAAAGAATAAACATACCCGCGAGATAATTGCTGCACCAGAATAACCAAGTTTAGAAACACTACATGTCCAGAAGCTATTCTCATATCCTTCTATGAGAGATTGTTTGATTGATTTAACATCTTTTTCCTGTGCCCAAAATTAAGATGCATTAAACCCAAAAGAGACAACTCTAAAAAAATAAACAAAAAAAGTACATCAGCTAAAGCAAAATGTTCACAACTTTTACCATGGTAGAATGAAAAAAGAATATTGTTAGTCTCTATATTTCACTTATATCAACAGTACAACCTGACTCAAATATATACACACTCAACAATTACAAATATACCCTTTACACTATATATATACATAGTTTCCAACACTCCCCCTCAAGCTGGAGCATACATATATCTATCATGCCCAACTTATTACAAATATAGGTTACCCGTTTACCAACTAGAGACTTCGTGAAGATGTCAACTAGTCGTTCCCCTGTTCTAACATGAGTAGTAGCAATTAACTTTTGTTCAAGTTTCTCTCTTACAAAGTGACAATTCACTTCTATATGCTTAGTCCTCTCGTGAAAGACTAGATTGTTTGCTATATGTATGGCTGCTTGGTTGTCACACCACAAGTCCATAGTCCTTATGTCACCAAACCCAATTTCTCAAAGAAGATGTCTTGTCCATACGAGTTCACACGTAACTTGTGCCATAGCCCGATACTCAGACTCTATGCTTGACCTAGCTACAACCGGTTGCTTCTTACTTTTCCAAGAAACAAGATTTCCTCCAACAAAAACACAAAACCCAATCACAGACCATCTATCCACAGAGGATCCTGCCTAATCTGCATCTAAAAAACCTTCTACCTTATTATGACCATGATCACTGTAAAGAATCCCACGTCCAGGGGCTCTTTTTAGATACTTCAAAATATGGAGGACCGCATCCCAATGAGATGTCCTAGGAGATGACATAAACTGACTCACCACACTCATTGAAAAAGCAATATCTAGACGGGTTACTGTAAGGTAGTTTAACTTTCCAACTATCCGTTTGTACCTCTCTGGATCACCAAACATCTCTCCATCCTTAGCATTCAATCTCACATTAGGAACCATAGGAGTGTCACAAGGCTTAGCCTCACTTAGACCCATTTCGGTCAACACATCTAACACATACTTGCGTTGAGAGAGAAAAATCCCTTTCTTACTCCGAGAAACCTCGACTCCCAGAAAATACCTTAAAGTGGCCAAGTCTTTTGTGTGAAATTTGGAAGCCAAATTTTTTTTCAAACTCTAAATGCCAACATCATCACTGCCAGTGATTACAATGTCATCAACATAAACAACCAAAAGAATGATGCCAGAACTAGATTGCTTATAAAAGACAAAGTGATCATAAGCACTCCTATGTAAACTAGACTGAGTCACCACTTCGCTAAACCTCCCAAACCACGCCTGTGGAGATTGCTTTAAGCCATATAAAAATTTCCTCAGTTTGCATACCTTTCCTGACTCCCCTTAAGCAACAAACCCTGGAGGTTGCTCCATGTAAACCTCTTCAAGAAGATCACCATGTAAAAAGGCATTTTTTACATCAAGTTGGTGAAGAGGCCAACAATATGAAGCTGCAAGAGAGATGACTAGTCGGACAGAGGTCATTTTAGCCACTGGGGAGAATGTCTCAGAATAATCAATACCATACGTTTGGGCATAACCTTTAGCAATCAACCGAGCCACAGTCCTATCGGGATTAGCCTTCACTGTGAAAACCCATTTGCACTCAATAACCTTTTTATTTTTAGGCAACCTCATTAGAACCCATGTATCATTATGTTCTAGAGCCAACATCTCTTCTTCCATAGCCCTTCGCCACCCATCATGAGCAATTGCTTTAGACACAGAGTTGGAAACAGACACGGAGTCTAAAGAGGCAATAAAAGACTTGGAAGATGAAGACAAAGAGTGATAGGAAACAAATGAGGAGATAAGATAGGTACAAGAGCGCTTACCTTTATGAAGAGCAATGGGAAGATCATGATCATGGTCAGAGGAAGGAGGAACCGGATCCGAGGGCGAGGCAGTTGATAGAGGCAGTGGATCAGATGTTGCTGCAGGTGTCTCATGGTGCTGGTGAACCCTGCGAGAGTATACTTGGGTGATAGGAGGACGAGATGGTAGAGGACTATGATGGGTAATGTTGTAAACAAGAAGAACATCAGGGGGTGCTTCAAGAGAAGTAGATGAAGTGGAAGACTCAACATATAGAGTGGTTTCAAAAAAGGAAACATCAGCTGAGATAAGGTACTTACCTAGGACAGGAGAAAAATAGTGATAACCCTTCTGATATCGGGAATAACCCAAGAATATGCACTTGAGGGACCTAGGTTCAAATTTGGATGCATGAGGTCTAACATCTTGAACAAAACACGTGCACCCAAACACTTTAGGAGGAAGAGAGAATAAAGGCTGTAATGGAAAAAGGATGGAGAATGGGATTTGACCACCCAAAACAGAAGAAGGCATGCGATTGATCAAGTGACATGCTGTAGAGATAGCATCTGCCCAAAATTCTGTAGAGACTTTCATGTGAAAAAGGAGAGTACAAGCGACTTCTAATAGATGACGATTTTTGTGTTCAGCAACTCCATTTTGTTGAGGTGTGTAAACACATGATGACTGATGAATAATACCTCTAGTAGACAGAAAGGAGGAGAAAGTGGCAAAAAAGTATTCTTTGGCATTATCACTTCTGAGAATTTTAATAGATGAAGTAAATTGATTTTGTATTTCAACATAAAAGGTACAAAATATGGAGAATAATTCAGAACGATTTTTCATAAAGTACAACCAAGTTACACGTGAAAAATCATCCACAAAATAACAAAATATCGATATCTAGACTTAGACAACACAGGGCAAGGACCCCAAACATCAGAGTGTATAACATCAAAAGGGGCTGTGGCTCTTTTGTTTATCCTAGGGCTATAGGACACTCTATGGTGTTTTCCAAACTAACACGCCTCACACTCAAGGTGTGACACTGACCCTACACTAGGACACAACCTTTTCAAAATGGGAAGGGAAGGATGACCAAGGTGACCATGTAGTATAGGTAGAGATGAATCACTAGTACACGCAACAGGTTGAGAGACAGGAGTGGAGACATCATCGAGCATATACAGGCTACCTGATACACGACCCTTACAAATAATCCGCCTTGTCCCAAGATCCTGAAATATACAATGAGTAAGAAAAAAGTAAACACCACAATTAAATGCATTAGTAATTTGACTAACTGATAAAAGATTAAAGGGAAAATGAGGAAGGCACAAGACAGAGGAAAGAGACATAGATTTGTTGAGATGGGCAGTACCACATCCAATAGTAGGTGCAGTAGACCCGTTAGCTAAGGTAACCGAAGACAAATTTGGAGAAGGTGTAAATGAGGAGAGAATACTTGTATCGCCTTTCATATGGTGGGTAGCACCAGAATCAATGACCCAGTTACTACTAGAAGTGGACAAACAGGCTGTAGGATTACCTAACTGGGTTAAAGTAGTGGTAGTCGATGGGATGGATGACCGGGAGCAAGAATTCTGAGTGAGACGAGCATATTCTGCTGCAGAGATAGTAACCTGTGATGGGGTAGGTAAGAGACCATCTTGAGTTACAACATGAGCAAACTTCTGAGTGTCTTGCATATTCGGGGGCTTGCCATAGAGCTTCCAACAATTTTTTTTTACGTGACCCTCGGCACCACAGTGAAAGCAAGTACGAGGGCCATTACCACGATTGTTCCTGGTATCACGACTTGTCCCTTTGTTACCTTTGCCAGACTTCTTGCTAGCTAGGGCCGCATGATCAACATTAGGATCCTTAAGGGTTTCTTTGTCCTTAGACACTCCTCGATCTTCCCCCTTACTAACTCTGAGAAGTCGAGCAAAGACATCCGTAAGAGAGGAAAGTGTCTCACCGGTAAGAAGTTGTGTACGAGCTATCTCATATTTCGGTCTCAACCTAGCCAGAAAACATTGCATTACCACTTGTTCTTCTTGTGCTTACATCATCTTCACATCAGTAGGGACAGGAAACATAGCCCTTTTTTCTTCAAAGGCTTGTTTTATCTCTGTATAATATTTGAGCAATGTCTTCTCTTGCATATTTGCTCGATAGATCTTCAATAACAATTCGTGCGCATGAGACAAGTCTTGTTTACCAGCATACAAGAACTCTAGATACTCCCATAACTTCTTGACTGTATCACAATGACCAATCACATCATCCACGGACGAATCGAGAGTGTTCTGAATCTGATTGAAGAGCTTATCATCTTCCCTGAGCCATCTTTTTTGAGTTTTATTATCATTTTCTGTTTTCTCAGGTGGATCCTCGATTAAATGGTCTCCCATATCAATGCTGGACACATATCATCAGATAATCCGCTTCCATTGAATATAATTCCTTTTTCCCAATAATTTTTTATCAGTAATTTTGGTGGAGGAAGTGACAATTTCATTCACCATCTTCTTACCGTCCTCTACCATACTGTCCAGCAAATAACTCTTAACTCCACAAATTCACAACAATCTCAACACCACACAACCCAAGCAAACACAACAACTCAAACAACCAGGATTCACAACAACTCTAGTATCACATTTTCCAACTCCAAGACAACACAAAAGTATAGAGGATTACGAGTGGCTTACCGAATGATCAAACTTGTGGACTTTTGTTGTATAGATACAACTTTACCTTCCTTCAACTTGAGGTTCCTCAGAATATTCTGATCAAAGCATGTCACAAAGCATTCCCATTTTGACTAAAAAAAAAGATTTACTGCACCAAACTAACAATCAGAGAAGAGAGAATTTACTGTACCAAACCAACAATCAGAGAAGAGAGAAATGATTTACTGCACCAAACCAACAACAGAGAAGAAAGAAGATTGGAGCAGAATCAGCACTTGCCAGAAAAAGTGAGGCTAAGAGCAGACGTCGCTGGAAAACAGAAACACGTCGCAAGAAAACAGAAACAAAGGTCAAACCTCGCCAGAAAACAGAGGGAAGAGGTCAGACGTCGCCGAAAAACAGAGGGAAGAGCAGACGTCACCGGAAAACAGAAACACGTCGCCGGAAAACANTAACTAAAATATTTTAATTAATTAATTATTAAATGTTTTACAAAAGCCTGAGTTGACAAGTAATGCCACATAACTTTGTATGTGACTCTTTTTAAAACTCTTTGTAAATACAGTATTACTCAATAAATAATTAAGACCTCTGTTTCTTGAAAAGCAAAAGGCTAGCAGACATGGACAAAAAGATCACTCTCTACCGTACAAAGACATAGGAGATGACATGGCTTCTAACAGCTTACATATACTGCATGTAGATTAAGTATAAAGAGAAGAAGCATGCTTACTTTCATGTGCCTGCCAAGAGATGGATCCCAATCTGTAATCCTGGATGACTAGAATTAAAAGAAAAGCCATCAGTCCAAGAAAAAATCTTGAAAAATGGAATAAACTAGCAATATAACACAAGATGGTTAAGATCATTACCAATCTTCTCAAGCCATCCCCAGAGTTAGGAACATAGGTGTTTAGTAAATAAAATGAATCGAACTCAGCTGTCACAAGCCGTCCCTCATTATCATGATTTTCTATACCAAGGCCATATGTGACTGAAAGTGGTTTTATCTGTCCAAAAAGTGCTACGCTTTTAAACAAAAATTAATCATAAGCAAAACCACTACCAAAGTGACCACTTGCTTGCAATTTAAAAACCATTAGCAGGTAGTCAGATACTTGGTAGTAGGAACCAAATAAAAAAGTCAACATAAATGCTTGCAATTTATTAAAACTTACAAAATTAAAAGGAAACTCATTATCAAAATTTGCAAAGAGGACAAAAGTTCTGTTTTTAGCATTAAAAAGATTAATCATATACAAGCAAGTTTTTACCATAATTATACATATTTATATTAGATAACACACTGTTATTCTCAAAATCATTATACATCTCAAACTCAATGTAAGAAATTTGATAGCTATAACTTAATTCAATGATGTCATTTGTGAAACTATTGTGCTGCTTATTTCATCCAGAATACTATAAGAATTAAAAGGGGAAGAAAGAAAGAAAAACCAACGACATTATAATATTTATTAGGAACTGATTGATTGGTTTATAAAACTGAAGATTTTAAAGTGATAATCTAAAATAACTAAATATAAGGTGAGCAGATATAATCATTCAGTTGAAATTATTAGCGTTTGTACAAGAAATAGCCTCCCCACTGATGAACAGAGATGAAGAGCATGTCTTTTTCCCAAACAAAGAAAGAGAATACTTGATTTTGTGAACAATAAAATAGACTGCTTATTTTCAAAATTGATTAAAAGAATAAAAATACCCGCGAGATAATTGCTGCACCAGAATAACCAAGTTTAGAAACACTACATGTCCAGAAGCTATTCTCATATCCTTCTATGAGAGATTGTTTGATTGATTCAACATCTTTTTCCTGTGCCCAAAATTAAGATGCATTAAACCCAAAAGAGACAACTCTAAAAAAATAAACAAAAAAAGAACATCAGCTAAAGCAAAATGTTCACAACTTTTAGCATGGTAGAATGAAAAAAGAATATTAACCGTCAAATAAATTTAACAATAAGAGCAATATGTGTGCTCAAACATGATTACCAAGTTTGAAGCAATACAAGTCCGGATGTATTGACATACTTACCTGCAGTTTAGTCTCTTGCAAGCATAGTACATCAAAATTTTCCCTTTGAGCAAGTTGCAATGCGGAGAATCCCTCTTGTTTCAGTAATGCTCTTAATCCATTAACATTCCATGACATAAGCTTCACAGATTTAGTATCCTCTGGAGGGGGTGGAGGCCTCATATTTCTAGGATTGTAGGGAACCCAACCTTTCTGGGGCTTCTTATGGGCAAGAACGGTCCAAGGTTCACTTTGAATTTCATTACCAGCAGTAACAACTTCAACATGAAATACAAATAAAATTACTCTTTATTCAAGAGGGGTTCTTGCCTGGAAACATTAACCATAGTGCAGTCTGTGCTCTCAGTAAATTCAAATGAACTCAGAAAGCACATGTGTAAGAGAGAAAGGGAACAGTTCCATAAATGAAAATGATGGCAAATGAATATCATTAGCAGTGAAAATAAATCGATGATAGCTATGTACTTATATTTTAGAGTACCTGAAATCCCATCAGTTTTGATTGACATCTTCCGTTTGGTTGTGATTACTGTAGTATTAACTTCAACTTGTTTATCCTCAACCGGTGATTGTTTAACCTTTCTCTTATTCCGTTTAAGCACAGAAACCTCCGAAACAGAGTCAATTTCTTGAACATGGTCCTGATCAGATATATTCTTACCCTTCCTTTTTAAAGATATTCTTTCTGAAGAAATGGAGGATACATGTTCTACTTCTACATGAGAACTTTCCTCTGCACATGCAAGAAATTTCTCAACTTAGGAAATGAGCAACCTAGCATCAAAGTCCATTAGGTTGTGGAGAATAAGGAAACTACCATCAATTGTTATGAAAAATCATTCTTTTCGTTAATCTTATCAGCAACAATAAAATATTTCTAAAGAATAATAAACTTTGCTTCTGCAGTAATATTTTTTACCTCCTATCTTTTTCTCTACATAACCCTTCAAGGCAGACATAAGAGCAAGTTTACCACCTTTGAGAGGGACCCCAATACTCCTGACCATTCAAATTTAAAATATCAAATCACTTTTCAGATTTAAAAGTCAACTGTCATGAATTGAAAAGACCAGTTTACTCATAAGGCATATAAAAGTACGTTGACTAAAGCAATAACTCAAAAAGATCTATAACACGAAGCACATAGGCTTTTAAGTACATAGAAATATCACATGTATTATTCATGAAGACAATGTTTATATTTATGGAGAAGAATACAAGTATAGGAAATAGTGAATTTCTGTATGTTAAGCCATACCTCAATGTAGTTCTGAGTTCTTGAACTGTCATGAACTCAATTCTCCCGGGATCATCCCTGATACTCTGAATATTGACTAAATTACTTTCCACACCATTTCCCTAAACAATTTACATTGAAACAACAGAAAGTATCAGCGACTGTTTAGACTAAAAGCAAATAGGCAATGGCTGAAACATGTAAACCCATAAAATAACCTTAATTATCTTCTCAGTATTTGTGCTTGTACCCACTAATCCTTTCAATTTTTTATGTTTCTTTTCTTCAGTCGCTCTACTTATCTCACCATCTTCCTGTACACCAATCATTATCATCAATGAAATCACATAAACCCACAAACCATAAAGCAAACAATTTACTACATACATGTAGAAGGTACAAAGACAGAATTTCCGCAACACACACAACACGAAACGACACAACTACAATGTATACAAGCCACATTACGTCATAAATTCACTAACCTTACAAATACCATGTTCGAAATGTTATAATACACACTGCAAATATTCTGTAATGTAAGCAAATAAAAACACAACGAAAGCAATGAGCCACCTTGACAAAACCCTGATCAGAATTTGGGCTAATACCCATTTCTCCTTTCAGTTTGTTATCTTCCTGCATTGATGACACGGGTTTTGAAGAATACGAAACAAGTGGTTTAGACCTCATTGCTCTTGCCCTCCAAGTGAACAATGTTCCAATTCTCAAATTCCTTGGGGTCGCTTCAAAGCTACTAATGACCTGTTTACTGCAATACTCAACATTTTCATGATAAGAAAGAATTTAATTTTCATTATTCAAACCAAGACAACACGGTCTAGTAAAAGTAATTGGATAAAAGAAAAGAACCCAAAAGGGAAATCATCACAAAAAGAAAAAAAAAATCAAATTACCTGCTGTGAAAGAAGAAACCTTTGTAGCCTAATTGCATTACTTGGTTCATGAATCAACTACTTCGCTAAAAGAGAGAACACTGAGTAGTTCAAAAGGATGAGGCACACTCATAAAGAACCGCCTACCCAAGCGCATGGGAAAGTTGCAAAAGAAAAACTTGCATCAGCTACTATTAACCGGAAAACACAAACCGACCCATCCGCTTGGGTTGAACAGGCCGGTCCAGGCCGGGTTTCAAAACAGAGGTTTTAAGTGGAAATGCGCAAGTAACATTTCCCATTGTGTCCCTTGATCTAACCTTTCATACTTATGGATGTATGTTTTTGTGTGCATTGTAGGTCCACAGCTTCTAATTCAAGGATATTTTGGAAGTGTTTGTCTGAGCTTATGAAAATTAGATTTTAACTTATAAGCATTTGAAATTTTAAGCAATTACGTGTTTGGTTAAAATACTTATAAGTGACTGATAAGTAAAATACTTATAAGTGACTGATAAGTAATTGACGTGTTTGGTAAAATGTGGTTTATAAGTACATTTTATTATAAAATGACTAAAAAAAGTGCTACATTAAATAAGGGTATACTATAGAATTTTAAAATTAAACAAAGATAATGTGGTAATATACTTGGTCAAACTAGCTTATAAGCAAAAAAAAAAAAAAAAGTATCTCCCCCCCAACTTATTTTTTTTGGCTTATAAGCTCAACTCATAAGCTCAAAAAAGTTATAAACAAATAGATCAGCTTAATTTTAGAGCTTATAAGCTAGTTTGACAAGTTTATAAGCTTAGACAAACACCCCTTTGTTTTCCTATCTTATCAATGTCTTACCCAAAATACACGTTTGTTTCCTATTTTAAAAATCTTATTTTATTTTATTCAACTATTTTAAACCCCTTAGGCTTGTTAATTTAACTAAACATCCTTTAAAACAAGTTTAAAATTTGATAAAAACACCCCACCTACCTACATTTGCTAGATTCCGACCACCATTGTTGGATGGTGGCTGAAATTTGGCGTAATATCACACCACCGGCGGGATTTGATTGGTAGTGTGTTGATTTAGCCTTTTTCAGTCAGATCCACCGTGGATTTAGTTGGAAAATACCAGATCTTAAGTCCATATCGATGCATGACCAACTAGATCCAACTAGTCATGTGCCATTATAGTGACTTCCGACCACCCTCCAACTGTGGTGGCTAGCTGTCGACATTTAATGGGTGGGTGGAGGTATTTTTGTTAATTTTCAATATTTTACTGTAAGGGTGTTTAGCTAAATTAACAAACCTAGGAGGTGTTTTTTAATTTTCAAATTCTACCTCGTAATAACCGCCCAACTCAACTTTTTCAAAAATCTTACCCAAAATAATAAAACAAATACAACCTAAATTGTTTGTGGGTAGGAACATTTGTAGCTAAAAATTGTTGAGTCAAACAGTTTTTGGCATATGATATATGAAGATGAGATCTTGACAAAGAGTAATGTTATGCGTACTCACGGATCTTACTAACCATTTTACTAACCTTTGTTAAAATTATATATGGTACCCATACTATGCTTGTGATACCCGTACTATATTTTATATTTACAAAGGTTAATACGATGATTAATACACTCGCCAGTACGCAAATGCATGACTGTGACCCTCAACAAATACACTAACAATATGGGTACCCAATTTTCCCTTCACAGTTGCAACATTTACATTACAACCCTCCCTATTAATTCCTTAATGTCTTTTCATTTCATTGACTTTTCCTTTGGACGTTATTCCTTCTATAGAACACATACTCCTTTCTTACACTTTCATTTGATTTTTTATTCTTGTTGTTGTGCAGGATAAAAATTCAGCTCGAGCTCAGAGAAAGCACAGGGATTCTAGTTTGGGTACCGTACAAAACAAGTCAAAGGAAACATACCGCTTGGCACAAGTGTCAGCTCGCATGAACAAACAAGATGTCAACAAGTTTTGACGAGTACTTTGACGCTTGGTATGCCTATTTAGCTGCATGATCACCTAGTGCAATACATGCAACAACTTCTCCCAACCAAAAGACTATTGACTGACAAACTCAAGTTAATTACAACTATGACCATGATTAAGTGTAATAATGTCCTGATGCTCTCGATCACCTAAAATTTGTCAAACCAGATAACAATCACTCCGCTTATGTAACTCCCATGAATGACCACCATCACAGCTTCTATAAATACCAAGTTGAAACCTTGAAAAAAGGGGGAAAAAGAAAACACCGACAAAATATAGAAGAGGGAGAAAGTCTTTATTTTTATTTCTTTGTAGTCACTAATCTCGAAAATACAACCAGTAGATTTAAGCTTGATTTCTTGTTCGGCCGAACCACTTTAAAAAGCTCACCTTTTCATTGTCATTGTTAGCTAACGTCGTCATCAACTTCGACCTTGTCTTGATTACTGACATTCACCTTTTGCTGATTCCTCAGAATCGCGCACCCATCGGTTGACACGTGTTCACGACTCGACAACGGAATTTCGCATCAACACTTCTTACTTGAATTACTCATTACACTAAACCCAGCCTCATTTGCATATCTATAATAAAATTCACATGTCTCTTCCAACGATCCTAACTCTTGGCCAACTTTCGGCTTCTACTCATTCGTGACTTGAGACACTTAAGTATTATCAATAGAATTCGAAGATGAACTTAGTATGACTTTCCATTTCCACTTCGATATCACCCATTTCAACGCACACATAAATATAAATGAAATGGGTAAGATAATAAGCATGTAAAACCAATAAATGTAATTTTATGAGAATATGATTTTGGGATGGCATATAAATGGATTAATGAAAATAACAATTTATGCAATTAAAGTGGATTTTCAATATTCTAGGTAGTGAATATGCTTATATGAGATGGTTACACACGGGAAGGAAAACACGTACAATTGCACAGATCCGAAGTGTAAGACTTTACTAGTTGCTATCATAATTAAAAATGTTTAATTTATATACTACAAGAAGCATAAGCCCTTGCTTTAATAGAGTACAATATTATTATTATTGGAATGAGTTTGCCCGTGTTTCCGCATTACAAACATAATCAATGGTAGCTTATCAATCTATTCTCTTCATGGCTGTCCTTTTTGTTGGTTTCTTAATTAATGGAGCACAACCACTTTTGAATAGCCTTGGATTAGATGGAGTAAAGCATTGATATGCAATGGTGATATTAATGTTGGTCGAGTTCTTACTGATGCTAATGGTTTTTTCACCTTTGTTCTTAAAAGTACTGATGGCCATATCTACGATCCATCAGTAGAAATAGTGGTAGGACTAATAACACCAAGAGTCGTAACGCTTGGTTGCCTACTTGTTTCCTCAAACCGGTACCCTTTATGGAGTTCCACTGCAAATTATATGGTTAGTACTTTCTCGATCGCTTGGAGTTTTAAAAACTAAGCAAATCCATGCTCCATTTTCTTTCACTAAGGGAGCAAATGCAATCACATGTTGATCAACAGATTAAGATGTTGCTTGCATACTTGTGATTAGGATTATAATATTAGGGATATCCTTTAATATAGCAAGGAAGTATAATCATAATTGATTGAGTAATCTAGGAAAAGGAGTATGATTCAAAAACATGGACAAGATATGATCTAAATAAGGAAAATGATCCCACATTCACCTAAAGCACTCAAAATCCTATAGCGATAAGGAAAGTGATTCTTTCAAACCCTAATCTACTTCACTGTATAAAGAGGGTTAAATGACATGGAGTGATTTCTCAATTCACTTAGAGAAGACTTGCACTTGACCACTCTGAATTGAAGCTGATCGCCATCAAATTTAGCCCCTACCCTTGTAATCCCACATATGTCCTTCTTTTACAGGGACAAAGACAGGCGTTGCAGTCAAAGATTATCCCAGAACACAAGAAGTCAGCGAATCAAGGGTAGAATTGTGTGCAAATTTTAGCATTAACAACAGGCGTCGTCTGTGGAGAAAGTATATAGAAAGCCGTAACAATGACATGGTGACAACATGTTCTGTCATACGAGAACCCGGGAACAAGGATGCCTTGAATGTTACAACGACCTCTGCCGACATAAACGAAGCTCCCCTGACCACCAATCAACTAGGTCTGGTGATTGCACCAATCACGAGCCTTCCACCGCGCGACACTCCAAGAACCAATATTGATTTTGGCATATCTCAGCCACTGGTGGAGTTCCCACTAGAGTTACTCAGCAACTTACGCAACGAACTCCGTGATGAACTCCTCAACTTGCTAAATGCCCAAACTACCCTTGGCACAACTGATGAATCTCAACAACAGGCACGTCTCTGTCCCTGAGAATCAAAACAAAAACGACCCTTGTAATTAGCACGAAGGGTCACAGTTAATTCTAACCAGGATAATCAAAAGGACAAGGAAGCCTGGAGGAATGAAAGGAGGCCTATCAACGCTGAAAATCAAAACAACCAGGAAGATCCTAGAGCACCAGAAAATAAGCAACAAAGGAGATCTCATTCCCGCTCACCAGGCCATATGACCTGATTGCGGAGAGACAGATTGTGTTTCCATGGCAGAGACGCAAGACATAAAATCAATGCAATCTATAGGGAGCAACGGCGACAAGAGCCACATGGTGATCCTAGGATACTAACCAACGACATGGGGGTCTTAGAAGACAAAGGATCAAAGGATCAAAGGATCAACCTACTCTTATGAGCACTTCACTCAAATTAGATGCTCATGAGGGAGATAAAAATGTTTGATACGCGACTTTATAAAAGCATGATAGGTGCATTATTGTATTTCCTGACATATTGTTTAGTGTATGCATGTGTGCACCTTTCCAATCAACTCCTAAAGATCTGTAAAAAGGATTTTGAGGTGGAACACCAAATATAAGTTTATAATATCCTAAAGGATCATCTTTTAGTCTTATAGGACATTTGGATGCCGATTTTGGAGGTTATAGAATAGATAAAAAAGCACTAGTGACACATATCAATTTTTAGGAAGCATGTTAGTGTCATGGTTTTCAAAGAAACAAAATTCAATTGCAACTTCTACCACAAAAGTTGAATATCTATCAACATCACAACTTCTATAGATGAAGCAGCAACTAGAAGATTTTTGTTTTAAAGTGCATAGCATACCCATTCATTGTGATAACATAAGTGTTATAAATTTGTCTAAAAATCTTGTGCATCAGTAGAGGTTAAAGCATATAGATATTAGGCATCATTTCCTATGTGATCATGTTAGCAAGGGTGATATTATACTTAAATATGTTGGTACTAATCACCAATTAGCTGATATTTTCACCAAGCCTCTTGATAAAGATGTATTTTATACTGTTAGAAGAGAGCTGGAAATGATTGATGTTGGACAAGTATGATTCATCACTTTGAAATGAATTATGTCATGCCAATATGAATGCAATGATGTGTTTTTTTTGTACATACTGAGAATATGTTTACATTGTTTGATGATAAGACTAAACTTGGTTACATGATAAATTGAATAGTTGCCTTTGTATAAAGCAAAGTGCAATGTCTCTTACACAACCTCATTAGTGATTTGGTCCATCCAAATGCAAGGGTAAAAAGGTTGGGAGTGCTCTAAATTTGCTTTTGCAACAACTTGTATAAAGAAATCTATACCATCACCCCAAAAGGAGCCCTTTGCAGGACATTAGAGGTTGGACATAATGATCACTGAGTGGCAAATATCTTCACAGAGATGATGAACTTATTACATATGTTCATGTGTATGGTTTTTGTAACTTAGTTTATAAAAGGACATAACATGTTTAAAGATTCATGCATGTTTTTATTGAAGATGCCGAAGTCCTAGCATAGATTAGGGTGTCGAATGAAATTGAAAAATGGATTTAGAATTTTTTATTGTAGGAATTGAGTTAACTCGTTTTTGGCTCAAAATTGATTGGACTGGCAGTTCGCTATAATAACCCTAGTCCAACTGCGGGTCATATCGGGTTAACTGCAATATTTGGTTTTTCATCCTAATTGAGTTGGGTTAGCCATTGGTTCCCGGTTTGATCGATTGAATCAATCGGTCCAAGTTGGGTTTTAAAACCTTGGTAAAGGGAGACTATTGGTGGTGGTTCCAAGGTGGGGGAGAGAAGGAAAGGAAAAGGCAAAGGTGGGGGAGAAAGGAAAAGAAGAAAGATGGAGAGCGCAAAGAAGAAAAAGGAGGGAAGAAAGGAGAAAAGGAAAGTGGGGAAGCGAAGAGAAAATACCATTGTGCCCTCGTAAAGTTATTAAAGATTGGACTTAATTAAGATTTTAGGAAACAAGGGATGTTATCAATTTAGTTGAAACGCTTTCATGAAATGGTAAAAAACAGACATAAGTTTCAATTTATTCAATTGGGGATACTAATACTAATTTTGTTCAATTTAGGGACAAAACGAACACGAATTTCAATTTGCTCGATTTAGGGACACTAAATAATAATTCTGTTTGATTTAGGAACACTTACAATAAATTGCAGTTACATATAATAGGAAACGAGGGCGAATAAAAAATTGCATAAGTTATACGAAAATTAAAGCAAAATAAAGTCTATTAAAATAATTTTCATACAATGAAACGTTGACAAGTAGCCGCAAGGGCCAGTTATGTAAATTTGTTAGTCTTTTTAACTTTCTGAATTTTACCTAAACTGATGGACTCTGGCCGCCAAGATGCAATCATGTAATTTGAAGTTTCAAAGTAAAATTTAGAAAGATCAAATCATATCTTTATATTTCAACAAACCACATTATAATAGTCAGAATACAAAAATAAACTCCTTGCTAAGGGTGGCAATACAAAGTGATAAAGGAAATTTTTTAGGCACCTAATCATCAATTATTGTGAAGCAAATGAAACTAGATGAATGAACATCTTTTCAGATGAGCGTATTACACCAAAACAATTCACTCTTCAAAGCCATAGTCAAAATCTTGGATGAGGAACAACAAAAACTCAGCATAAGAACTTCGCCTATGTACTTGGTATCATCCTATTATAATATCTACTTCAATACACATCAACAAATAAACCTAATGCCGAAAAAGATACTGGTTACTACTGTATTATATACTTGTATATATGCTTACCAAACTTGTTTCTCCCAACCCCATGACAGTCCTGCTTTGCCAAATCTAGCAGCTTGACTAACAGGTCCACAAGAATTCATTGAGTTCCACTGTCTTGAAGAATGTTTCTCATCCATAAATGGTCTTTCACAAGAAATATTTGATCTCTTCCATTCTCTTTTATTCCTCCATCCGCGATCCATGTGGTAGTCATCACCATGAAACCTTGAGGTTTTATACCTTGACATGTACCAACCTGCACCTTCTCTCTTCCTGCTATATGTTGCTCCCCAATCCCCACCATTTCTTCCATCATTTACATTTATTGGTTCATTATAACTATTGTTCCACTCGTTACAATTATTATCCTGCTGGTTCCATCCCCATGACTCATTCCAGTAAGTTCCCCATCCATCATCTTTCTTTGCTCCATTGCAAGGAGCACATTTATTTTCCCAAGGATTTTCCTCATTACCAGCAGGCAAAAACAAATCAGTATCCTTCTGAAAATTCTCTTCAGCATCACCCCACCCAGTGCATGAAAAAGACTGATTAAAGAGGAGTGTACTATTAAGAATCACAACCTTCTCATCTTTATTTACCTCCTCCGAAACCTTGAATTCCCGTTCCAAGTCCAAAAGCAGTTCAGGGTCAATGTTGGAATTCCAATCGATTTCATCGATATAGATATCAGGATCAGGCAATGATATATTGCAGGGAAGGCCATTAATCTGTGCCCAAAATCGGTTTTTCGCATTATAAAATGCCTCTTCACCAGCAGAGTCATTCCAGTGAACCACATTATCATAGAGATACATAAACCTCTTGGTTTCCAAAAGCTTTCTCCATGGAACAGAACCAATTGAAGCACAGAACTTTTTCTCCCATGAAGGCACAGTAGGTTGCCAACTAGCTGGAAAATAAACGAAGCGACATGTAAGCACACTAATGCATGTTAGGACTCACCATCATGAAAATAAAGACCAATGTTATCAGATTAAATTTAGGACTGTCTTAGTGCTACAAAAGGGAAAAAGTATGATGTTATCGAAACGTCAAATTTAAAGCCAATATTTACCGAAAGCAAAACTAAGAAATTTGAAAATGTTCTGCCAGGTTTGATGCTTTTGTTAACGATTACGCACGTTTCCAAAGGCTAAAATTAGAAAAACATACAATGATAAAAACGTTTCCACATTTTGTATGTAAAATAGTTGAACCAAAAATAAATAAATAAAACAGACACTGTAGGCACGCTATAAAATCTTAATATAAATCAACAAGATTCATCAACAACGCAAGCAGATCATCTTACAATTTCTCAATTAGAGCATGTGATTTCCTATTCTTTTTTCTTCCGGAAAACCATCGTAAAATAAAATATTAACTATACATAAAAATTTTAACACACAAAATACAAAATAGATAATTGATTAACCCAGAAACAGAAACCGACATAAAAGCTTGAAAAGAAAAGCAAGAAAGCAGTGAGTATTGAAATAAGGAAGAAAAACCACTGACTGAAACAAAAAACCCAATAAAGAAAAAAAAAAAAAAAATACCTTGAGGCGGCTTTCTGGGGTGTGATCGTTGGGGTTCTTGATGATGAAAATCTGGTTTCTGTCTCCTCCAAGTGGTGTCCATTAACGAAAAGGGAAGAAGAACAAAAAAGAAAGGAAGCGGAGAAGAGATAAAAGAAGGAAAGCGGAAAATTAGTGGAAGAGAAATGGTCAAAGAGAGAAGGAAGAAGCGGAAATTGAGGAAGAACAAACAAGGAAAGTTGGTTTCTGGTAAATATAACAAAATTTAACAGGGAAGCCCTTGGCTTTGGTTTGAATTGCTCTCTCTCTCTCAACTGTTTATTGTGCTTGTGTTGTGATAAGCCCCAGCACACTCTAAACTTAATGGCGGTGAAGTTGGTCGTCTACATTCACACGCACGCGTTCCTTCCACGTCATTGCTTTTTCCCTTTAGTAAAAAAAATATCATTTTTTTTCAAACATTAATATTATCAATTTTAATTAATTTTTTGGACATATATACCGTTCTAAGATAGAAGGCAAACGTGTCTAGGATCTAGATATTTACATTACTAATATGATTTTTATGTCTTTAGAAATTAGAATTAATAATATAAATATTCAAAAATAATAATTGGAATTGGAAAGTAGTTTGACGCGCTTATGAAGGCGCAAGTGAAAGAACACCAAAGGACAAGTCGGTAAGGCGATTAAATTGTAAAGTACGTCAGAATTGACCAATATACCCCGCTACTTTTATTATTTTTGTTTTGTTGCTGTTCTTGTTGAGTGATGATTTTTCACAAAAGAAACATTAATTTATTATTTTTATTTTTATTAACTACTAATCCCATGCATGCTTGTACTTATTCATATGAAAACTAAGGAGAGAATCTATCATTTTATAATTATATAATATATCTGAATCTGATGACAAGAATCAAATATTCTCTGTGTCATTTGTTTGTAATAAACAAAATTTATATCTACATTTGGTATATATTTTGTAATATTAAATTAGACTTATCTTTAATTTTCACATGCCAAACATGCTTGAAATATGATTCATTGAACAGATAATTGTGCATTGTAATAGTTGGATGAGGCGTTTTGAGGGTTGAGTTCAAAGTCTTGAAGAAAAAGAGAAAGGTTTGAGTTGAATTAAAAGAAAGAAATCAATAATAATAATAATAATAATAATAATAATAATAATAATTATTATTATTATTATTATTATAGGTGTCTAGATGTATTGCAATGCATGTGGTTGACTTGAACATAAATACAAAGGTACAAAATCAAACCACCTTGAATGTATTCCCATGATAAAATCCAATGAATTAGTTGACTAGAAATTAAATGAAGGGCAGATGTGATGCATTTGTAAGTGAATAGAGCGAGTTGATGGAGTTTTACACTTGAAGAACTCAGATTGGTTGACAAGGAATCAAGCTTGCAATTTACGACCAGCTCTAGTGTTTGTACTCAACAGCAAAAATAACACTTAAAACAAAGAAAAACAAGGTTGCCAAAATGATTCCAAGGCCTAAAGGATCACCACCAACCAAGGATAAACCACCACCAACCCTTTCGGCAAGATTGGATAAAGGTTAAAATGAGCTCTCACTAGAACTACAAATTTCATTCATCCAAAAACTACCTTACAATAGGAGAAGCTGACCTTATATAATTGCCTTACAAAAAGTTGCCCTAACTTGGTTTAATCTTGGGCGTACAAGTGGCATGCACTAACTCCTAGTGAATCTAAACCATACAAAAGAAAATTGACCAATACTTGAATTTGTCATACATGGGTTCCAACATAGGAGAAACAAAAAATAAAAAAATGCATACATGGATTAGCTAAAACACAAGATCCTAGAACTTTCCCTAAGTGGTAAGGGACATGGAGCAGCCTAAACCTTACAACCTTGTTTTTGCCAAATTGGGTAATGCTTGTAATCACCCATGTGTTCCCTTGTCTCTTGCATTTAATGCTCTCACATGCTTCCCTTGATTCTCCCAGCAAAGTTTGAATACTTGAATTACTTTTGGTGGGAAATTTCCCAAGTGATCAAGTTACATCCAATTAAAGGCATTGAACCCAAATAGTCAAAATCCATTTTGGGCCACTTGGAGCTCATGATGAACGACTTTACCTACTTGGGCCAAATTTTGAGCCATAATATCTCTTTGGGCCGAGTCCTTGCTCTTGCCTTCCATTATGCATTTTTCTTGGGCCAAAATAATCTCACCTTCTTGAATAATTTCTTTAATGGGTTTCACTTGGTTTTTATGAAGGTTTTTGTTGGGCTTTGCTGGATTCTTATCATCCTCCTCGGGTTAAAGAGGATTTGCCTTCAAATCCTCAAGGTTGTCATCTTCTATATAAGGGGACAAATCTCCCACATTGAAGGTTGCCGAAACACTTCCGAAATCTCTCGGTAGATTGATCTTGTAAGCATTGTCACCAATCCTCTCTAAGACTTCAAATGAGTCGTCGGCTCTTGTGGCAAGTTTGCTCTTCCTCTTTGATGGGAATCTTTCCTTCTTCAAATGGATCTGCACTAAATCTCCAGGTTGGAATTGGGCTAGCTTTCTATGCTTGTTAGCCCTTCTCTTGTATGCTTCATTGGACTTCTCAATTTGGGCCTGAATGGACTCATGTAACTTCTTCATGGCCTTGGCTTTTTCTTTAGCATCCAAACTAACTTGAATATCAATGGGAAAAGAAGTTAATTCAATGGGAGTGATGGGATTAATACCATAAACTACCTCAAATGAAGAATGGCCTGTTGTGGAATTAGGAGATCGGTTGTAGGCAAATTCCACATAAGCAAGCTTAACATCCCAATCTTTCAAGTTCTTGCTTACCATGGTTCTAAGAAGAGTACCCAAAGTGTGATTGGTCACCTCGGTTTGGCCGTCGGTTTGAGGATGATGAGAGGTGCTAAACAGTAGCTTGGTCCCAAATTTGCCCCACAAAGTCCTCCAAAAGTGATTGAGGAACTTTGTATCACGATCTGACACTATGCTCCTTTGAATCCCGTGCAATCTCAAAATCTCCTTAAAGAACAAATCTGCCACACTAGATGCATCCTCGATTTTGTGGCAAGGAATGAGGTGAGCCAGATTGGAGAATCTATCAACCACAACCATGATTGAATCTTTGCCCCTTTAAGTCCTAGGCAAAGCCACCATGAAGTCCATACTCAAATCCTCCTAAGGCTGCTTCGAAATTGGCAATGGAGTGTAGAGCCTTGGCTTGAAATGGCTCTTGGCTCGTTGACATGCCCCACATCTTGCAATTATGGCTTGGACATCCCTTTGCATATTCGGTTAATAGAAGTGTTCTTTAAGAACCTTTAAAGTCTTGTGGACTCCAAAATGTCTTGCAAGGCCTCGCCCATGAGTTTCCCTCACAATCAACTCTCTATATCCTTTTTTTGGGACACAATGTCTATTGCCTTTAAATAGAAAACCATCTTGCAAGGAAGAATCTTAAAAGTTACCCTTGGTGCATTCAGTCATAACCAAACTCATCTCTTCATCATTGACATAGCCCTCTTTCATTAGTTGAAAACCAAGTGCCTTAGCATCCAAAACAGCAAGTATAACATACCTCTTTGATAAGGCATCTACAACAACATTATGCACTCATTCCTTGTAATTTGGGACAAATGAAAAGGATTGTAGAAACTCAACCCATTCAGCGTGCCTTGAATTCAACTTGTGTTGCCCATTTATGAACTTCAAAGCTAGGTGATCCAAATAAAGGACAAATTGCTTGGGCCTTAGATAATGACTCCAATGGTCTAAAGCCCTCACAATAGCATAGAATTCCTTGTCGTAGGTGTTGTACCTTCTTTTTGAGTCATTAAGCTTCTCGTTAAAATAGGCTATTGGGCACTTGGATTGAGTAAGGACAACCCTGATACCTACCCCACTAGCATCACATTCCACCTCAAACACTTGATTGAAATCGGGCAAGGCTAAAATTGGTGCTTCACAAAGTTTCTTCTTCACCACATCCAAGGCTTCATTGGCTGCCGTAGTCCACTCAAAACTACCCTTCTTCATGCACTCGGTGATGGGTGCCATGATGGTGCTAAAGTTGGGAACAAACCTCCTATACAAAGATGCAAGCCCATGGAAACTCCTAACCTTTGTTATAGATGTGGGTTGCGGCCAACTACTAATGGCTTCCACCTTTGATTGATCCACCATAATACCATCCTTGGAAACCACATAGCCTAGAAAAATCACACCAGGAGAAAAGAACTCACATTCTCTAATTTGGCAAATAACTTCTTTTCCCTCAAAACTCCAAAAACCCTCCGCAAATGCCCTAAATGTTCCCTTTCATCCTTACTATACACCAATATATCATCAAAGCAAACTACTACAAACCTCCCCAAGAATGGCTTCAATACCTCATTCATAAGCCACATAAACGTACTAGGTGCATTGGACAAACCAAACAGCATAACCATGCACTCAAATAACCCTCCCTTGGTCTTAAAAGCTGTCTTCCATTCATCACCCTCCCTCATCCTAATATGATGATATCCACTCCTAAGGTCTATTTTTGAGAAAATCGTGGAGCCATGCAATTCATCCAACATGTCATCTATGTAAGTAATTGATCTACCATATGCAGGGAAAAAAAAAAATTCTATCGGTAAATCAATTACCTTTCTTTACCAAGATCCGAGTATAGATTATACCGTTTACATGTTTATAAACAAAATCTGTATAAAGTAAATCCATTCAAGGATTAGAATACTTACATACATTTGGAGGCTCCTTCGAATATCTCTGACTTCGGATAGGAATATTGTTCACGCACTGTTTAAGGTTACTGTTCACTATCTACTATTCACGTGATTTTTTGCCAATCGATCCAAAGCAGGATCGCACTCACGGAAGTCCACACAAAGATAATCCGCAAAACCTTTGATTATTTTGCTAGAACAATTAAGGGCTTCAACAATCAAGAAAGAAGAACAAAAAAAATTTTCTTTGAGAGAGAGAGAAAGGGTGGTTAGGGTTTTAATTGAATGAATAATTCTTTATTGTTTTAATTTTAAGTTGCACTTATATAGTGCAACAATTAAAACCCTATTCCACTTAGGAATAGCCATGGGCTCCAACCCTAGTTCACCCTTGCAACCAAACACACCCTTTGTGGTATTTTAATTAATTAATTATTATTATAATTAAAATCAATTAATATGTAATAATATATTAACATTTAATTAATAATAATAATTCATTTAAATATATATAGAGATATATTTAAATATAATCTCACTAATTTAATTTTAATATTAAAATTAAATA